AAGTCAGAAATGACTTGAAGGCACACAACAACAGCAACAAGTCCTCTATAGTTTCAAATGGCTACGATGCACTCTTTTCTACAAAAAGAACTAAGAAAAAGGATGCCATGAATTATAGTGATCTGATACTGTATGTAATGTTACTTTTTTCTTTTTTGCATGTGGCCTTACCAAATACGGAATGGACTATGGATATGGCTTTTAATCTGTTTTATTGATGTTGTGAAATACATTTTATTGGTCTTTTATTGTGATTTGCTTTTTTACGATTGAATCTTTTATACTATTTATATTTTTTTAATTTATTGTTTATTTTTCTGGCATTGAATGCTTGCCTTTTATGTTGTAAGCCACCCTGAGTCCTCATGGGAAGATGCGGCAGGATATAAATAAAATTTGTTTGTTTGTTTGATTGCATAGCTTTTGGAAATTATTCTGAATCGGTGGCGCAGTGGGTTAAAGCACTGAGCTGCTGAGCTTTGTTGACCAAAAGGTCGCAGGTTCGATTCCAGGGAGCGGCGTGAGCTTCCGCTGTCAGCCCTAGCTTCTGCCAACCTAGCAGTTCGAAAACATGCAAATGTGAGTAGATCAATAGGTACCGCTCCGGCGGGAAGGTAACGGCGCTCCATGTGGTCATGCTGGCCACATGACCTTGGAGGTGTCTATGGACAATGCTGGCTCTTCGGCTTAGAAATGGAGATGAGCACCACACCCCAGAGTCAGACATGACTGGACTTAATGTCAGGGGACAACCTTTACCTTTTTTAAAATATCTTATTTTTTTCAAGAAAAAAACATATTGGAAAGAAACAGAAAAAAATGGCCCTCTCTAATTTTTTTCATTTCCTCCCTCTCCCAAGCCTTCACATGGCTAGCAAAGATGCCCTCCTGGCATACCAAGCATATTTATTGTTTATTTTTCTGGCATTGAATGCTTGCCTTTTATGTCATAAGCCGCCCTGAGTCCTCATGGGAAGATGGAGGGGATATAAATAAAGTTTGTTTGTTTGTTTGTTTGTTTGATTGATTGATTGATTGATTGATTTCATAGCTTTTGGAAATGATTTTGGATCAGTAAGTATCTTATTTTTTTCAAGAAACAAAACATATTGGAAAGAAACGGGGGGGGGGGGGGGAGAATGGCCCTCCCTAATTTTTTTCATTTCCTCCCTCACCCAAGCCTTCATATGGCTAGCGAAGATGCCCTCCTGGCATACCAAGCGTATTTATTGTTTATTTTTCTGGCATTAAATGCTTGCCTTTTATGTCGTAAGCCGCTCTGAGTCCTCATGGGAAGATGGAGTGGGATATAAATAAAGTTTGTTTGTTTGATTGATTGATTGCATAGCTTTTGAAAATGATTTTGGATCAGTAAGTTTTTTTTTTCAAGAAAAAAACGTATTGGAAGGAAACAGAAAAAAAAGAATATCCCTCCCTAATTTTCTCATTGCCTCCCTCTCCCAAGCTTTCACATGGCTAGCGAAGATGCCCTCCTGGCATACCAAGTTTTCTCATTCAATCTGAATCAGGCCGCTGCGAACTTTCGTTACCATGCTCCTGCTCATGATTTTAAAATTGGGGGAAGCACTAGGAAGTGGAGAAATTTTTGGCTTATTGAACATGTATAACTTTTTGTGTTTGCCTATTGTCAGCTTTCTGAACTGCATGTGCCATTCCTTCCTTAAGCCATTAAGCCATGCCTAAGCAGAGGACAAATCAGGACTTTTGTTAGCTTTCAACCAAGCTTGACTGTCTGCAGTAAATGTGAGCTGCTACCCCTTTGAACCCGATTTGAAAAATGAAATGTCCTTGGCTTCTGTTTTGTTTGCATGCTGATGGGCTGCACCATTCTAGGCAGAGCAGGCTGGAGCGGGGAGGCCAGAGAGAGTGGCTAGTATTGGAGCCAGAATGAGGTTAAAACTATGTTAACACACCACAATACAACCCTCTATTGTTTGGGAGTTTTGTTCTCTCTTCCCCTAACATAGCTTTTATTGTGTACTTTAGAAGGCCTTTTGCTTGGGTCATGCCAGTGATAGTGAGGAGGTGGGTTTCTGCTGATGATACCAAACTTAGGAATTCAGAGCTGCCTTTTTGGCCCTTTCTTATAGCTAGAACTCTAAAGTTACAAAGGTTTTCAGAACTACATTTTCATCTTCCCCATAGCAGCCTTTTATGGAAAGATGCTCATGTTTTGAATTTCTCCTTTTTGTTCAGTTTCAAGTTACATCTCGCAGCTAATCTGGAATTGCTAAATTCCCATCTTGAAGCAGTGTGATAATGCCCTCTTAATGTATCTGTCTCCTCCAGTTGTACCGGTATATGGAAAGTTCAATGACTCAGCAGGGTACAAATTCTATTGATAGCCCTCTATGCTGCCGATTTGCTACCGGGCCCAATTTAAGGTGCTGGTGTTAGCCTACAAAGCCCTAAACGGTTCCGGCCCAAAATACCTTGCAGACCGCATCTCGGCCTACGAGCCCACGAGGGCCTTGAGATCATCCGGGGAGGCTCTTCTCTCGGTCCCGCCTGCCTCGCAGGCACGTCTGGCGGGGACGAGAGAGAGGGCCTTCTCGGTGGTGGCCCCCCGGCTGTGGAACACCCTCCCTACTGAGGTTAGACAGGCGCCCTCTTTGATGGCCTTTCGTAGGAGCCTGAAAACTTGGCTCTGCGAGCAGGCCTTCAACTAAGTGTATCTGTGGAACGACGTTAGAATGGACTATGACTACGAACTTGGCTATGACCCTAGGATTAGACGAAGCGGATTTTTAGTATAAGTATATGTCGTAGTAGTAGTTTGTTATGTCTTGTTGTGATCTTTTGTATGCTGTTCTTCTATGTTGCTGTTCACCGCCACGAGTCGCCCCTAGGGCTGAGAGTGGCGGTCAATAAGTGCAAGAAATAAATAAATAAATAAATAAATAAATAAACAGATGGCAAACTGTATAGCTCTTGTGAGAGAGAATCACTGTTCTTTGTGCCTCCACGTTTTTAAAATAATCTTTAAAGGGCACATTTGTTTTTATTTTAATATACCATTTGTATTAAATATCACATTATTTTAAAATGCTTTAAAATGGCATTTTACTTCAGTTCAAACATAATGAATTGTAAAATATCAGCATCTCTTAAAATTAATTTCAAAACCACCTGTTAGCAATTAAAGCCCGATTATATATGTAAAAGAATGAACTGAAGCAACAATAACAAAATCTGGCTTTGGGGGGATTAATCTTTAAACAACTACTTACAGTATTTGTAAGTGACACACTAGTTCATTATATTGTATTGAATACAGTACAGATGATGTATGAAGAGGGGAATCCTTCAAGTACATTGAGTATGTCTCATCTGTCAACAAGAAAGAATGCAGAGCCCCAACAATGGGAATACCCTCCCCAGAAGAGAACAACTGGTACCAACAATGTAGTTGTTTTAGTACCAGCTCAAAACCTTTTTTGTTTACTCAAACAACTTAATTTGATGATTTTATTTTATTGTATTTACTACTGTTTGTATATGTCTGGAACAAGTATTTTGGTTAATTGTAGTTGTAAACTACCAAGCTGGCATTCAAGGATAAGGGGCAATTTTAAAAGTATTTATTATATAAACATATAATTAGATGAATCAATTGAAGGTCATAGATATTTATACTTCTTTCTTCACATTACACTAGGTACCTGTCAGCCATTTCTAGGTGTTTAGGTCAGACTCCTATGCCATGTTTTTTTGGGGTGTAAGACCCATTGAATCTAGTAGGTTTTAATGTGATCAGCTGTGTATAGAATCATAGAGTTGCATTTTGAATAGACTCTTTCTTAGCATCCATGGCAATGGAGAGAGTCAAACAGATCTTTAATATTGCAGTTCTCTCTTTGCTCTCTTTCTCTCTCTGATCTTCTATATAAATAAAAATGAATGTTCGTTTGTGGGATTAACATAACTCAAAAACCACTGGACGAATTGACACCAAATTTGGACACAATACACCTATCAGGCCAACGAGTGACCATCACTCATAAAAACACTGGGAAACACAACAGAAGAGAATTTAAAAGCAAAAAAAAAACCCAGTTACAATGCATACGCAAAACCACATATATACACATATACACAAATATATACACACACACATATTCATATATACATCCGCAAACACATATACACAGACTGGGCCGCAGCAATGTGTGGCAGAGGATGGCTAGTTACATATAAATTGTAAAGTGTGGTCATTTCATGTTTACACTGGTTTGCAGAATACATGGAGAACAAAAAACCTAATTCAGATCACTAATTATTTTGGCCTTTCTTCCTGGTTACCTAAATCATCTTGATTTTCACTGAATCCACCCTGTTCTCCAGTGCTTCTTGTGTGACCTTGTAATGTGCTCCTTTTTAATTTATTTTTAAAAAGAAAATTAGGACGGCTATTAATACATTGTCTTTCATGGTAACTGCATATACTCAAAATAACATTAGTAACACTTTCATTCCACACAGTGGTTAACTGAACCAAATTTAGGTTTATATAACACAGTGTTTACAACCTCTTTTTGGAAATCTATCCTAATAAAAAAGGTTTTTTTAAAAAACAATGTGTATGCAAACCAGTAGCAAAATGCTCAACATCACCAGAAAAACGCACTTCTGTACTTCAAAGTTGGAAGTGAGTCTATCTCAGGTACCATTGATTTGTGAAAAGGTGTGTTTACCTTTCTCCCCAGTAAATATATTTTCTAGCAACTTCTTTAGGTACATAATTTACTCATAACTCAACAAAAAGATGTTGCTCTTTGGAGAAAAAAAAATTCATCATTAAGAGATATGTGTTACATAGTCCTGCAAAGAGTAGTTCTAGGTAGGGTTCTTGCTTCTGGAAGGGCTCTCATTCTTCAGCTACATGGCTTGATGATGATTTTTATCCTACTAGATATTCTTGTCTTTTCCTGGTGGATATTCTTGTCTTTTCTAGGTTGTGATGTCTTCTTTCATTTCAGAGAAGCAGAAGCCTACAAGGAACAAGGGAATGTCTTTTATGCTAAGAAGGACTACAATGAAGCATTCAACTATTATACAAAAGCCATAGGTGAGGATTAAAGGGGAAAGAGAGGTGGTTTTCTGGCCTGCTTGATTTGCTTGTCTGAAAACTGGAATGATCCATTTCTAGTTCATTTTTATTGTGATTCTATTAACTTTGTTGACTGCAAACCATTTCTTTCCCTTGAGGATAGGCAGTCCCTATACAGCAAGAGGTTTTCACAGTCCGCTGTAGCATAGTGAGTGCAAGGTTCTGTAATATGTGTAATTGGGGTTCATTGTTCCTCAGGTTACACTTTGACCATCAAGAGTAAGGCCATTGCATTGAGAGAAAGTAATCTGCTGTCAAATATCTAGAAATGTCATATTGTGTGTGTGTGTGTGTGTATAGGTTGCATGTTGCACATAAAGATGCATTAATTATTTTTGTATATAATGAAAAAATGTTTTTGCTTTCTGTTGTAGTTTTCTGTTGTAAAAACTATTTTTTTAAAAATGTCTAGAAATATCATCTGTAGAAAAGGTTCTGAGAATCTCAGTTATGCAGAATAGAACTCAAATGACTAACCATCATTTCTAGAGAATTTTTTGATTAAATACATAAGTCCTGTTTGCTGAAGAGCCAGAGTTTACTGTTGTATTCAATTTTGCTCCATAGATTTCCTATTTCCTTGTCCCATTTCCTTACTCCTTGTTTATATTCCTAAAGTGGATGCATGGGCGCATGTGCAGAAACACACGTTCTTTGATAATTAAAAGTTCAGAACCTTGTTGAGTGAAATCAGCTACTCAGTGTTTTTGCATTTGTCTTACTGAAAATTTTAAACTTTGAAGATTTGGAATGAAGGAATGTGGAGGATGTCCATTGTTTTTCTGTACTAACTAACATCCCTTTCTGTGCTATAGATACGTGTCCCAGCAATGCGAGTTACTATGGAAACCGAGCTGCCACTCTCATGATGTTAGGCAGATACAGGGAGGCTCTTGGAGATGCCCAGCATTCTGTCAGAATGGATGATACCTTTGTGAGGGTATGTGATCATAGAAATGCTTTTGTGCTAGTACCCATTGTCATTTGCATCTTACACCACCTAGGCTTTGCCTCTTCCCCCTGTCATTGCAGGGACATCTACGGGAAGGAAAGTGCCACCTATCTTTAGGGAATGCCATGGCTGCCAGCCGCTGCTTCCAAAGAGTTCTAGAACTTGATCATAAAAATACACAGGCCCAGCAAGAGGTAAGTCTTTTTACGTTTGCCAAAAGAGTGATAGCTATATCTCCCTTTGCCTAAGTGTGAAGTTCACCTTTACATTTCAATTGAAATCTATAGGTTGATCATTTTCAATTGGTCAGGATCACATACAGTGTAACGCATAATGAGCTTTTTCTCATGCCGTTGCCATGTAAAGTGTAGTAATTCTTACCCCGTAGGACGAAGTAGGAGCCTGAGATATCTGTAGGCAGGCCTCCATTTTGGGAGTGTAAGCATAGGAAGCAGACATCTTGGGAGTGTAAGAGGATAAGAGGGGAAGAGCTGGAGCTCTCTCTGGATTGGTTAGGACAGTTGGGAGGAGTTAAGCACAGAGGGGGAAAAGTGGCAAGAGAGAAGAGAGGTAGATTTTTTGGTGAGCTGAGATTTTTCTGTCAGAGAGCATTTGGGACAGGCGATTCTGCATTATTTGGCCAGGAGGGTCAAAGTAGACGCCTGGGTGCTTGTGTGGGTTTTTACACAAGTGGGTTTGCTCTCTGGACTAGGGTATATTAGCTTACAGAGGACTCTGCTTAGAGTGTAGCTAATTGCTGTAGGGACAACCTGGTTAGGTTAGTCTGTGGAACTCACTGCTACTGGATTTATTGTAGAGTGAGGAGTTTTACTCATATCGGTTTGAAGTAACTATTAAGATTATTGTACCCCAGTAACCAATTAAGCTTGTGTGCCTCATTGCAGAAGATAGTTGTTTGTTCTTATCAATAAATCTGTTATCTATTTCAACTTTTAAAGAAGCCTCAGTAGTGTTTCCTTCCTGTAATAATCATTCTAGCAGTTTTAACATCATTACATCACAGTCATCTCAAAGAGCCCAATGGAGAGCTGGTGGGCAGGAAAGAAGTTTACCTCAGGAAACCATTATTTAATATTCCCAAATTACTTTGGGTGGTGGCAGCAACTCTACCAGAGTATACACGTTACCTCAACACACATCTAAACGCTCTGTGCCAAGAAGCATATCCCATCAGATTGGTAGTTGTGGGATTTGTATTCTGGAGTTATAATCATAGACCCTGATATTTTGTTATATCAAGCATGAGATTTAACATGATCCATCTAGACTGCAGAACACATTTGCCTGGTGAAGATTCATCTACTTTGCCTTTTGAGAACTTTATAGATTAAACATTTCACCTTTCTAAAAAAAACACAGTGTTCATTTCAAAATAAGGTAAAAGAATGATCTCACCATGAATTCTTGTTTGGACCACTTCTCGACATAATGAATTTCAGAGTTAGTCAAGGTATGAGTTGAGAGCTAGTGAACATGTCATTCTTTACTTGTGGTTAAGGATGGGAATGAGCCACAGAATTCTGAGTTTCCTCCTTGCCATCTCTTCTTACTCTGGCGTGAATTCCTACCAATACTCCCCCATGAGATTTAACCATGATGTGCTAGCATTAACCATAGCCATAGTTAAATCTGGCCAAGGTTTCCCCTTAACTAGAGTTCAAAACCAAGATTTGAACTTTATTGCAGTCCCTTTGTTCATAAAAATCCTGTTTAAGGAGAGGAGGGCTAAGGAGGAAATACACAACCTGTTATTCAGTTAATCAAACCTATGAATGAAAGAAATTTCACCTTTAAATATTGACATTTTGAGGCAATTTATACCAGGGATGTAACTCAGGGCATTAACATCAGGTATCTATGATTTGCTATATAAAAATATATATTTGTTATGACCACAGAAATCACTAGTGATCTTGTGTGTTAAACTGATATGGTGGAAACGAATGCTTTCTCATCTTCTCTTCCAGCTGAATAATTCCAGAACTGTCTTAGAGTATGAGAAAATAGCTGAAGCTGACTTTGATAAACGGGATTTCCGAAAGGTACATAAGAAACTGCCTTACACTGAACTATAAACTGGTAGTAGCTTTATAAAATTCTTTCCATCTTTCTTACTATATCCATGCTTATTTTCAGCATATGTCTTGAAATCTATAGACAATTGTGAGAGGTACTATTAAGCTTCCTGGAGCAACTTTTAAACCAAGAACATAATAAGACTTTGTTATGATGAAAAGAAAGGAAAATAAATGAAGCTTGTCTATCATTAGTAATTTTTCTCAAAAAGAATCCCCGATAAACTCCAAAAAACTTCCATTTAATAATCAAAGCTTAAATTATCATTGGTAGCTGAAATATAGCTAAAAATCTTTTCACTACTTGAGAAACTAAGTTTTTCCTGATTTTAATAATCAGTTCTAAAGCAATATTAAAAGACTCCTCCAGTTTCTTTTCCTAAGTGCAACCAGGTGATATTTCCAGGGATTTCTGGGGTCAGATGTCATCGGTATGCAGGTGTTCAACTCTGTCACTCCTTCCTACCTGCTACTAAGGAGGCTGTTCAGGTCCTGAACTAGTGTTTGACAGCTGTGATGGTCTGGATGGGGGCTAACACATTGAAATTGAATCCAGGGAAGACAGTCGTAAGGCCAAACAGGACATAGGGTTACAGCCTATGTTGGATGGGGTTACACTCCCCCTGAAGACGCAGGTTCGCAGCTTGAGAATGATCCTAGACTCAACCTGGAACCCCAGGTCTCAGCGATGGCTAGGGGAGCGTTTGTACAGTTAAACTTGTGTGCCAGCTGTGCCTGTACCTTGGGAAGTCTGATTGGGCCACGGTAGTTCACGTTCTTCTTACATCCCGTTTAGACTACTGCAATGCACTATGTGGGGTGGCGTCTGAAGACTGCCCAGAAGCTTCATCTAGTCCAATGAATAGCAGCCAGATTGCTCACTGGAGTGGGCTCCAAGGAGCATACAACCCCTGCTACGCCAGCTCCACTGACTGCCAGGTTGCTTCCAAGCACAATTTAAAGTGCTGGCTTTAGCTTATAAAGCCCTAAATGGTTCCAGCCCAGTTTACCTGTACCAATGTATCACCCTCTACGAACCATCTAGGACCTTAAGATCATGCTCTCGATCCCACCTCCCTTGCAAGCACGACTGATGGGGACGATAGACATGGCCTTCTCAGTGGTGGCTCCTCGGCTGTGGAACTCCCTCCTAAATGATATCAGATCTGCCCCCTCCCTCCTGGTATTCCGAAGAAAACTTAAGACCTGGCTTTGGGGTCAAGCTTTCAAACAATAAATACAGCATTGGAATGTGGTTGACTTATGTGACTGGCAATGGACTGATCCTGGGTCATGATTAAACTGGCAATTTTAATATTTTTCTAAATTTTGATGTATTTATAATTGTTTAATTGTCACTTGGTGTTAATTGTTAGTACTTTGTTCGGCATCTAATGGTTGCCTTCTGTAAGCTGCCCTGAGTCCGGGCAGGGGGGTGAAAAGGACGGGGTATAAATGCTTGAAATAAAATAATAAATAATAAATTTATAACCTGTGATTGCGCCACATGTTGGAGAGCTATTTTCCATTTTCGACTAAGTTTTCAGAATTGCTTTGGGCAGGCAGGGAGGTGATTTGGTAATTCCATGGATGAAATGAGATTCAGTCCTGATTTCCTCAGGCTTTAGCATCATGAAGTCTTTCTCATGGGATGAGTTCCATAGATTTTACTTCCCCACAGGACTAGAAAGCTATGTTTTGCTACTGGATTTTTCACTCCCTTGAGTGACAGGCCTGCCAGATAGCTCTCGGTTTGTCCCTGTATGCCCCTAGCCACAGACAGAGCCCAGCAACCTTAGTAATAAGGCTTCTGTCCATCCCGGTGAATTCCTACTTCACCGCCTTCGAACTGTTAAGAGCAGCTGGCTCATCATGGACAATCTGAAGTTTGTCTTAAGGAAGAACCCTGCCTTGTCTGCATCTCGAGCCAGCTCTCCCCAGGCTTCTCCATCGCTTAGGCAGTGTCAAACGTGCCCTTTGTTTCTGGAGAAGAACCTCCTTCCCATGGCCTCCATCAACTGGAGTGTCTCGGCGCTTCCCACAGCACCCAGCGGTGATGTCACCTATGGAAGGGGGAAGGGAGAGTTCCAGCTGAACCTCACCCCAAACAAAGGCTCCCTTCTTTTGCAGCTGTCCTAGCCCTAGAGCAGCAAAAGTGCCTGTAAAGTCACTCAACAGAGGCTTGGAGCTGGAGTTAGTCTTGTCATAGCAGCCACTGCTTCACTCTTCTCATTGTAACATTTTTTTTTGAGTTTTTAGTTCTTCTAACCTACTCTTCAGAGCGAGAATTCGGAAGGGTAGTGTCCTCCTGTTGCAGAAAATTGCCCTTTCCTTACCTCAGAAACCAGGAATATGGGAAGTCACAGGATGCATAATACCAGAGCAATTGTCTTGAGAATTTGGGCCCGATTCACATAGAAAGGCTTAATATTCTCGGTCAAAAGTTGACAAGTGTGATATTTTGATCACTTCCCATGGTTTGAGTTAACTAGAGCGGATAGCACAACTGTCAATTGGTAGAACTGATAAGTATTGTAGGCCAAAAGCTATTGGAGGACTACAACTGCTCACCCATGTTCTAGAATCATGGCTGCAAGTCTCTCAGCCTCACAGCAGGTACTGCACTGCTTCCTGTACAAAGCATCTGAGCTTCCTCATGCTCACTAGCTATTATCTTTCTCTCTCCTCCACCTTTTCTCTCACTGCCACCTCACCCACCCAGGTTGTCTTTTGCATGGATCGTGCTCTGGAATTTGCCCCTGCATGCCATCGATTCAAAATCCTCAAAGCAGAATGCTTAGCGTTGTTGGGTCGCTATCCTGAAGCGCAATCAGTTGCCAGGTAGGAATTGGGACAGCTAGAAAAGCAACTAGCTGGGGAAAGGTTTATGTGCCATGATCAATAATGTTATTAACAATGAAGTATGTAAACAGGCTTTGTATCATAATATAGTGCTTCTCAATGTGGTGGTCTGTGGACTAATGCCAGTTCAAGAGCCATTCGCTGCTGATCCATGGGGAGTTTCCAGGAATAAATCAACAACTGTAGTCAATGGGTGCAAATAATCTACAAGTTCCTGGCACATGGGAGTGAGAAACCCTACTGATCCATCATATGAAAGATCTCTGTCTTCATCACAATTTGTTATTTTCCTCCACTTAAAATCCCTTTATTTTCATTTTTGAAATTCTTCTCTTTAAACAAGAATATCAATTTATTTAGACATTTCATGTTTTAGTTACACATTTGTAATTTTATTCGCCTGTTATTATTCCTGCCTTATGAAATAATTTTATTGCAAAAATAGGGATTTAAATTTGAACACACAAAAGGGATTGTGGGCAAAAAGGGTTTGCAAATTTATTTATTTATTTATTTGCAGTATTTATATTTTGCCCTTCTCACCCCGCAGGGGACTAAGGGCGGATTGCAATGTACACATATATGGCAAACATTCAATGCCAAAGACACACAACAGATACAGACAAACAGTCAGAGACTATTTAACTTTTCTGGCTGCCAGGGGAGCTGTCACTTTCATCGTCCATCTGCGACACTGACGAAGTACTTCTGCATTCCCCGCATGCTTTTGCTGGTGTGCTTTGCTGGAGTCTTTTTTTATGGCCTCGTAAATTAGTTAAATTAGCCTCCCCACACATAGGTGATACCTAATTTTCCTGCTTGACAGATGCAACTGTCTTTCAGGTTGCAAAGGTCGACAACAAGCTACACAATTGCTCGGAAGCTCACTCTGACCCGGGCTGGCTTCGAACTCATGACCTTATGGTCAGAAGTGATCTTAATGCAACTGACAAGACAGCTGTGCCACAGTCCTGGTGCAAATTTCAGAATTTGATGTATCTTTTCAAAGTTTTTTTTCTTTTGCAATTAAAATTTCCTATTCTTGGAGCTTGACACTACAGAAGTGCAAAGCATAAAACAGTACAAACCATGAGACCCAAAAGACTGGGGTGGAAATAACATCTTTAAAAAATGGCATTTGGCACTTGGGAGAAGAAGTGGTCCAAAAGAATATTGGGAAGAAGGGGAGTACAGAAGGGTCAGAGAGGGAAACTCAGAGCCCTTGGAGTCTCTTTGACTCTATGATTTTAACAGTGGTCAGAAAAAACATAGTGCTCATGTATAGAACCTATGAGCTATCACATATAGATTTGACATAACCAGCCATATCTTCCACTAGAGGCCTTTTGCCCCTCAGGAGTGCTTTCTGAATGTTGTGCGTTCTGTATGTGGTTGTGTAATTTCTGTCTTCTTCCTTCTGTCTTTAGTGACATCTTGAGAATAGATTCCACAAATGCTGATGCCCTCTATGTGCGAGGGCTTTGCCTTTACTACGAGGACTGCATTGAAAAGGCTGTGCAGTTCTTCGTCCAGGCTCTCAAAATGGCTCCTGACCATGATAAGGCCTGTCTCGCCTGCCGCGTAAGTATGAGAAGAAGGGTAACTGAAGTTTTGCTTCTTTTCTAGAACAAATGCATTCTTTTTTTCTTGACCCGCACAGGGAGGTACTTCAGTCCATCCTAATCAAAACCATGTGTATCATATGTAAGAAAAAAAATCTGTAACCAGGCACTTCAAATTTTGCTCCAAGAAAAAATTGAGCAGTGTGTCTAAATTTTGCACATTTTTAAATATATATTTTTTATCCTGGATATTTTTTCTCTACTTTGATGTCTTTCATAATTTTTGATCAGTAGGCATGGAGCGGAGGGAGCATAGGCAAAGCGCTGCTTCTGCATCACCCCATGTGCTGGCAGAATTGGTGGCTTTAGGACTGGAAAAAGATTAAAAGGGAGGAGGGAAGAAAAAGGAATAGTGTCACCTGGTAAGCTCCCTACCTTTCCCCGCCAAATGATGCAGGTTTCTTTACACTATCTCTCCCAGGCTCCTTTAGCTGTTTCACGAATTACCCCAGTTCCTAAGAACATCAAATCTTGAAATAAATCTAAAGGATCCTGGGTCCAAGATGTGAAGCTATGCAGGTTAACCAATGAAGGTTCTTTAATTAGGTGACATTATGGGGTTTTTTAACTGTTCAACTTCTCAACCTGTCTTTTGACCCACCTTCTCTTCCAGAACGCCAAAGCGTTGAAAGCAAAGAAAGACGATGGCAACAAGGCCTTCAAGGAAGGCAATTACAAGCTAGCTTTTGAACTTTATACAGAAGCCCTGGCAATAGACCCAAATAACAGGAAAACCAATGCCAAACTCTACTGCAATCGGGGAACGGTTAACTCAAAGGTAAACCTGTTTACCAGAGGCATCTCTAAAGTCTTCAGTCATAGTTTTGCTGTAGAGAAACATTTTGCAAGGTATGGTGGGGAAAAGATTAGAGGATCTCGCTGTCTCAGAATGTATGCTTTTGTAAGCCATGGGGATCTTGCTTGGGGATCTTTGAGTCCTGGAACTCCGTGAAGCCTAGATGGGCTTCCAACCAGCCAAGATCTGGCAAAGTGGCTGGCCTGGCAGAACTTGTAACCTCAAATAATATCATCATCATCAACATCATCATCTTTACTTGTATCCCGCTCCATCTTCCCAAGAGGACTCAGAGTGGCTCACAACAATATAATTATACAAATAGTCTCTACAACAACACACATAAATACATCCAATTTAAATTAAATCAACAGTTAATAATGAGGCAAAAAATATATAAAGAAAGCAGCATTTTAAAATTACATAAAACATCATTCATTAAAAATCAAACTGCTGAGATCTGCACCAGCATTGCTTCTAAATAGCAAAAGAGAAAAGTTGGCTGTTGCGGGCTCTCCAGAACATCATAGCCCGCAACAGCCACCTTTCCTTTTTTAAAATATTTTTTATTATTTTATCATAGTTCGATACATTGGTTATACATTGTTTGTTTTACAGCAGATACATATTATTCAATACAACCTACAATACTTTAACTTTTGGCATCTATAGTGTTATTTTTCTGCTTATACATATTATCTATCTCTCACCACTGTGCTCCCCTCCCAAGCCACAGCTTTTACATATCATCTGTCCAAAATTTCAATTCTTCTTGTGGAGGTAACTTTCTTTCTTTCTTTTTTAATCCTTTCTCAATAAATTTTCTCCATACATCATCAAAATCACTTTGTTTCCATATACCTCTTTTAACTTTTAATATATTTATTTATTTATTTATTTGCTTGCTGGCTTGCTTACTTACTATATTTGTATACCACTCTTCTCAGCCCTTGGGCGACTCAGAGTGATTCACAATAGCAAAATTCAATGCTTAAAACATCATAAAACAGTTAAAAACAATTAACTGTAGCATTATAAGAATAAATTAAACAATAGCATTATAAGAATAAATTAAACATCATATAACATCTCATATCGTCTCATAGTTAAAATCAAGATCCAGTCCCATCATCCAATTGTTCCATATTCCTATATTCGTTACACTGCCTATTCATATACATGTCACCTTATCATTTACTGCCAATTTCCATACTTCCTTGTACCACTCCTCTATTTGTATATTTATTTCTCTTTTCCAGTTCCTTGCTATAAGCAGTCTTGCTATTGTTAATAAGTTTGTTATTGCATCTTTATCCTCTTTTTTCAATTGTTTATTATTATATAATGATAATAAAGCTATACTAGGACATCTTTCTATTTTAATGTTCATTATATCTCTATTTCTCTAAATACTTTCCCCCCAAAATTATTTACATATTTACATTGCCACCACTATGTATATATGTTCCTGATTCTTGGCATCCTCTCCAGCTGTTTTTTGAGTAGTTTTTATTTATATTTGCTATTCTTTCTGGTTTAATTATCCTGACTTAAGCTGATGGGAATTTCAGTCTAATAGTTCTCAAAGGCTGCATGCCTTCCACATTGATCAGTAGGAATACTGTGTGTAATTACAACATTGTAAACAGTTATGCCACTATCCAGTAATACAATTCCATCATGCACAAGAATTCCTAGTTATGGACCATGTGCTTGGAAGGAATCCAGCAAAGTTTCCTGTTGCACAGCTTGCTGCACCACCAGCTGCACAATGTTCCTCAGCTTAAAACCACAAAAACAAATATAGTACAATGTGCCCAGCTGGCAAAAACAGTGGAATCGCCCTGGGCTCCTAGATGTAGCATTGGTGTTGCATTAAGTAACATGTTATAATATGGCAGGTTTTTGGACCTACTAACATCATAGTCCTTGTGGCAGGCTTACAAGGTCAACCGCTAATCTCATCAGTCAGATGGGAAAGCAAGGCTAGAAGCAAAATTAATAACCTTGTAAACAGTAACAAATTCCTGTCAGAAGACTATCAATCCAGTGTCTGGTGTTTTTTTTTTTTTCTTGATATATGCTTCAAATCAGGGGTCCTCAAACTTTTTAAACAGAGGGCCAGGTCACAGTCCCTCAAACTGTTGGAGGGCCGGATTATAATTTGAAAAAAAATATGAATTAATTCCTATACACACTGCACATATCTTATTTGTAGTGCAAAACATTTAAAAAACACAACAATAATTAAAATGAAGAACAATTTTAAAAATATAAATATAAATTTATTAGTATTTCAATGGGAAGTGTGGGCCTGCTTTTGGCTGATGAGATAGGATTGTTGTTGTTGTTGTTGTTGTTGTGTGCTTTCAAGTCGTTACAGACTTAGGTTGACCCTAAGCGAGGGCCGGGTAAATAACCGCATTCGGCCCCTGGGCCTTAGTTTGAGGACCCCTGCTTTAAATGATTACTTATATGCCATATGTCTTCAATTGTAATATGGCATAGATTGTAAGATGCAGCCTAATTTCAGTACCAACAACATTAACAACAACAAAAAATTACCCATGATTCTAATACAGTGACTCCAAGAAGGAGATGGAGAGGGATGGAGTTACATGACTATTTTATCTGTGTTGCTGTTGAGGTCCGTGTTGGGAAGATTTTTCAATGTTTCTAATTTGATGGACCGCTATTTCCACCCACCCTCAAAAAATACTCAATTATCCTTGTTCCTTATGGAAGTTCTGCGTAACAGCTCTCTAGGACCTTAGAAAACCTTTTCAGTCCACTGAACTGAATGTGACATGGAGCTAAGTCCTTTGCCTCTTGCATTCTCTATTGTGTGGTTTCATAAACGTCCGTAGAGGGGCTTGTTTTCCTCCCTGATTTGAAAGATGGTTACAGCAGTTGTTGAAATGTCTGCCAGCAAGTAATACATTTAATATGGAGTCCTGAAATTTTTGTATGGTGACTATTCCTTCAAATTGGTTTAAATAACTTCTCAGAAGCTTTTGGACTTTTCTTCCAGGGCTGTACTGAAATCCTGTGGATTTTAATGGTTCATTTCAGTTCTGTGCTCTTCATTATTAACCCCATACTTGTTTGGGAAAGGTGGCATTTCTGCCCATCCAGTAAAACCATACATTCTGTTCACACTCTCCCTAGTTATTCATTCTTGCTTTTAAGAAAGTATGCCCTGTGTTGGAATAGCCAGAAAAAAAACAGCCTTTAAGCAATAAGGTAGCCTTTGGATAAAGTGGTTGGCTTGATTGGACTGCAAAAGGGAAGTAACAAGTGAGGTCTTAGGAATTTATGAATAAAATAAATGTTCATTATCTAACCTTATTGCTTGCCTTCTAGCTTCGGAAGCTGGACGAAGCAATAGAAGACTGTACAAGTGCCATCAGACTGGACGACACATACATTAAAGCTTATCTGAGGCGAGCACAATGGTGAGTGTACGCATATTAGATATTGAGTAAAGCACTGTAGCTCAGTGATGAGAAAGGTATTTAATTTAGATTGATTTGATATATTATATTAAAATAGTTGAAAGGATTAGCAGTGTCCAAAGCCCAGTTGCTTTATTTCCCCATTTTGTCACTTCAGTAAACATTTGCTGTATTGCTTCTAAGCTTACCTGGTTTGATTGTTTTTATCCTTCCTCTCCTACCAAGATACTCAGCGGGAGGGACATCTTTGTTGTTATAGGGTTTCCTTTGGTCCTTCCAGTTTTATCCTTATTTAGTTCAGTGATTTCCAACTTGTGGTCCACAAGAACTAAAATATGGCCATGAAGCAAAACCCTTGTTAAATACAACTCCCAGGATGCCATTGCACTGAGCAAAGCCAACAGCAACTCCACACCAGGAAAGGTGGGGAGGGGAAAGAAGCAGGAAGGAGGAGCAGAGGAAAAAAAGGAGAAAGAGGAAAAGGAGCCCTTTTGTGTGGAGCCTGCCTCTTTCCTGCCTGAACTCAAGTCATGCTTCCTCTGCAAAATGCCAGAGATGGAAAAGGCTGGCCTGAGGAAGCCCCGTGAGCCTGGTTAAGGTGCAGCCCTCTTCCCTCCTTTCCTACTTTCTTTCCTTCCTACCCTTCCTCCTTCTTTTCTTCCTACCCTCCCTTCCTTCCCTCCCTCCCTCTCTCCCTCCAGTCCTTCTTGCTTCCTTCTCTCCTTCCTTCCTTCCTTCCTTCCTTCCTTCCTTCCTTCCTTCCTTCCTTCTTCCTTCCTTCCTTCCTTCGTAGAAACCTTATACTCCCTCCCATTTCCTTCCCTTCTTTCTTGCTTTCCTCCTTCTTTTCTTCCTTCTTTCCTTCCTCCTTCTCTCTCTTTCTCCTTTCATTCCCTTGGTACCATTCCTTCCTTTTCCTTCCTTCCTTGCTCCCTCCCTGCTTCCCCCCTTGCTTCCCTCCTTCCTTCTTTGCTCCTTCCCTTATATCCTTCCTTCCTTGTTTCCTTCCTCCTCACTTTCTTTCTCTCACTCTCTCCCCTCTTCATTCCCTCCCTCCTTGCTTCCCGCCTTCCTTCTTTTCTTCCTGCCTCCTTCCTCCCTTGCTCCATTCCTTTCTTTCCTCGTTTCCTTCCTTCCCCTCTCTCTCTCTCTTTCTCTCTCTCTTCCTTCTGCCCTCCCTCAGTCCAATCCCTTCCTCCCTTTCTTCCTTGTCTCCCTCCCTGCTTTCTGCCTTCTTTCTTTTCTTCCTTCTCTCCCACCTTCCTTCCTTGCTTCCTTCCTTTCTTCCCTCTCCCTCCAGCCTTCCATCCATTCTTGCTTCTCTCCCTCCTTCCTTGGCCCTTTCTTCCTTCTTTCCCTCCCTTCCCCTTCCTTTCTCCCTCCTATGTGCTTCCTTGGGCAATAATATTAGCCCCAGAATTACCCAACTTGTAAAGAAGATGCAAGCTCAAAAATCACATTGATGCAAGCCAAATTTCATTTTCTATTTAAAATGTTCTTTTTATATTAAAATAGTAATTTGAATTAATGTTACTATTAAGTTTAATGAATATGTTTAAAGTTTTCATTAAAGTTTATTATTCTTGAACTTTGTGGTCCCTGCTTAACAACAAAAAAATCAAAGTGATCCCTGGTCAAAAAAAGGTTGGGAACCACTGATTTAGTTAAACCTTTTTAGGTTAGACTAAAAAATAATTTTATCATTTACGCCCTGAGCTTAATGGTCAAGTGTAAATTTGAATTTGGGGTTTCCCCATTCTTTGTCAATGTCCCTTACATAGAATGCTGAATCTCTTGGTATAGTGATTCATCCACCTTCTTGAATTTTGTCAAAGTTGAGTTAGCAGAGGAAGGATGGATTCTGAAAATGGAGTTGGGAAGAAAACAGATAACCTCCACATCTCAGATTTGTTTATAGCTCAGGAAAATATTTTGTACTCTGCAACACCCATAATCTCTGTCTGGGTGCTGCAGATTGGAGATTGTGGGAACTGTCGTCAAAAACATTAACTTTTCCAAACTCTGGATACATTCAGTGACTTGTATACCTTCACCTTAATCTTGTGTCATTTATTTGAATAGTTTGGAAATTGTTTTTATTTTCACTAAAGCCATGTCTATGCTTCCTTGCTTAGTTACATGGATACAGAGCAATATGAAGATGCTGTAAGGGATTATGAAAAGGTTTACCAGACAGAGAAGACTAAAGGTAAAGGATGAACACCTCTCCACTCTCTTTTCCATCCTTCTCCTGGCTGGGAATGATGGGGCTTGTAGTTAAAAATCTGGTAGGTACTACGTTGGGGAGTCTGGTCTTGACTATAACTTTTACAGTCTTAAACATTGATTTCACTCCCCATGTATTTAGGGTTCAAAAATACAAGTTATGCCCTGTGAAGTAGTTCTGCATCATATCCCCGGAATCCGATGTTTCAAATATATAGTCAAGAAATCCAGTATAAATGTATGGAGCTCTTTTCTTAAATGCCTCTCGAAGTGTATATGAAATGTTATTTGAGTGTCATTTTTTCTTACTCTAGCATGTAGAACTTTCCTAAGTATACATTTAAAATTTCAACCCCAATATTCTTGCCTTACATCTGTTTCCCCAATAATTATGACTGAATTTTTTTAAGTAATAAAAACACAAAAAGAAAAAAACGACAATACTTGTAAGTACATAAACACAGACATACGTAGACAACAATTGCTTAACAAGCATAAATGTCTATGTATAACTCTAAAACTACCAACATATACAGCTTCTTTATAAATTTAACATTTTTTTCTTCCACTTGCTTTACATTTACAAGTCAATATCCCAACATTTTTGTTTCCAAACCTGTACATAAAGTCTTTGCCTTTTCTTCAGATATATATTGATTAAATGGTTTCCATTCTTTTAAAAATGTATCCGGAACCTATTGTTAACAATATTGTTAAATTGTCCATTTCTTTTATTTTCCACATATTTACTGTCCAATCTTCTACAGTTGGCATTTCTGTCATTTTCCACTTTTGAGCATAATTTTTTTGCCGCCGTTAACATGAACTGTGGTATTTTCTCATGTTCCTTTTTTATTTGATTGTCCAATAGGCCAAGTACGTAAGTAAGTTCTGGCTTGAAGTTGTTTCTTGTTTTAAGAATTTCTTGGATTACTCCATGTTTGCATCGAGATCTTTTTGACCTTCTTACATGTCAACAACATATGATAGTAAGACCCTTCATGAACATCACATTTCCAACATTTATTATTTGTCCCTTTATACTTTTATGATATTTTTGGAGGTTAAATGCAATCTAAACATAATTTTATAGAAATTTTCTTCAAGGTTATGTGATAATGTAAATTTTAAACCTTTCTGCCACATTTCCTCCCATTTTTCCAATTCTATACTATAGCCAAACATCCTTTAACCATACAGTCTTTAATTATTTCAGATTCAGTTTCCATTTTCAATAAAACTTGTGCATTTTACCAATTAATTACATTGCATAGTTTCTGGCCTGTAAAATTAATTATTTCAAGAAATTGTCAGAATGCAAACTGTATTGTCAGTCTCCTGAGTTGGTGGATATGAGAAATGGCCACAGTAAAGGGTCTGTATTCATTATGTGTTTTTCATCTTTTTGCAATTAAAACTCACTTCTGATACTCATTCCTTTCTGTTTTATTCTAGAACACAAGCAGCTCCTCAAAACTGCACAGGTTGAACTCAAGAAAAGCAAGAGGAAAGACTATTATAAGATCCTGGGTGTTGACAAAAATGCCTCTGAAGATGAGATCAAAAAGGCATATCGGAAGCGGGCCCTAATGCACCATCCAGGTACAGAATAGAGTCCCCTGGTTACCATGCTTAGTATTCAGCTGAAAGCTCCCATCATTTACTGTGCGGATGGAAGTAGGAATACAGCAACTTCAAGAGAACATTTCCACCCAAGCCATATGGCCATGGTGACATACTTTAAATTTGGGCATGTAAATATCTGATGAAGTTGCTATACCCGAGCTTGAAGGGGAAAACTCTTTTTAACTACAGCTCCCAGAATCCCTGAGCAATAATGGGAAAACTGATGTTCAGATAGTAACTTTGTAAGCTCTCCTTGGAAGCCATGTGACAACTTCAATATAAGTTTTCTTCTCCATTCATATCCTGCTTTTTCCCAGTAATGGGACTCAAAGTAATTAACAAAACATTGAAAAGCTATATAGATTAAAAAAAAATATTCAAAGGCTTCAAGAAAACTAAAAAAAAATTTGAAAGCTATTAATCAATATAGTTAAAACAAACTTTAAAAACAGTCAAAACAATTAAAAGGCAATATACAAACTGTAAAAACTGCATTGCACCAGTCAATTTCTGAAAGCTAATAGGCTGTTAGACTTTTAACTTGCTTACAGATGGGAGAGTAAGAATTTTAACATTGTGTTGTTGAAGGCTTTCATGGCCTGAATCACTGGGTTGCTGTTAATATTCTGCCCTCCCTAAGGTGGTAGTTGTTAATTGCCATGAGGTTGATTCCGAGCCACTTCCAATTTACATTCTCTTTCCAAAATACCATTTCTTCTTGTGGAGGTAATTTCCCATCTACTTCTTTTAAGCTGTTCTCAATAAATTTTCCCCAAACTTCATCAAAGTCGTTTTCCTTCCATACCCCTTTCCTGACTCTTAACCTACATGTCCATTTATCATTTATTGTTATTTTCCATAGTTCTTTATACCATTCTTCAATTGGTATATTTATTTTACCTTTCCAATTCTTCGCTATCAGTTTGCTGAAGTTAACATGTTATCTATTGCATCTTTCTGGGTTTTTTTTCTTTCAATTTCTTAATGTTATTTAGTGACAACAGTGCGATGCTTGGACTTTTTTCTATTTTCATATCCATTATAGCTTCTATTTCTCCAAACACCTTCCCCAAAATTCATTTACATATTTACATTGCCACCACATATGTATATATGTACCCACCTCCTGGCAACCTCTCCAACAATTTTTTGTGGCATTCCTATTAATATTTGCAATTTTTACTGGTGTTAAGTACCATTTCCAAACCAATTTATAATAATTTTATTTAAATATCTTTGATCCCATAATTGTACCCAATTGATTTTATTATTTATTTCACGCATTTCTACCCCGCCCTTCTCAACCCCCTAGGGGGGACTCTGCTTCTTTTATTCTAATCCCTAGGTCTTCCTCCCATATCTCTCTTAATGTTGTGTCCTTTATTTTTTTCAATTATTATCTTATACAATTTGCTGGTTATAACTTTTAACTTGTGGTATCCTCCCATAGCTCTTTCTTTTGGTATCATTTGTTCAACTTGTGTAAGTTTGCCTCCTTTCCCATTATTTTTTATCCAGTTCTTCAACCATTGGTCTAACTGTAAGCAATGGAACCATGAGAGTTTAATATCTCTAAATTCTCTCAATATAGTTTCTTTCCTCATGTTTGCTTTTATCCAATCTTCAATTTTATCTATCTTCTTCTCTCTTAATTTTTTATCTAATATGTTTTTTAAATTTTTCGGGAATTTTTACTGTGGAACTTTCTTATAATAGTATTTCTTTGTATCTATTCCAAATTCCTAGCACATATCTCAACATTGGGTTTTTTATTCTCTTAATTTCTTTCCTTTTTATATCTTTAAAAATATATTTCAATTTTTTCCCTCTATTTTTTCCAAATCTTCCTCCAACCATTCCAAATCCTCCTTATTTATCATCCTTTCTATGACTAGTCTCATCCTGTTTGCTTCATAGTATTTTTTAATGTTGGGGAGTTCTAAACCTCCAACCTTTTGTGACTTATACCAAAATTGTTTATTTAACCTGTTTTTCTTATTGCCATTGCAATATTTATTAGTTAATTGTTGCCATTTGTTTAATTCCTCCTCTGATATCTGTAGTGGTACCATTCTAAATATAAATTTTTTTCTTTGGAAGAATTTTATTTTAACTAGTGCTATACTTCCTAACCATGATAGTTTTATATTTTCATATTCTCGTAATTCTTCTTTATCCTCTTTTTTCAGCTGTTTATTATTATATAATGATAATAAAGCTATACTACATAAATATAAATAAAGTATTATTATTACTAGGACTTCTTTCTATTTTAATTTTCATTATAGCCTCTATCTCTCTAAATACCTTCCCGCAAAAAATTACTTACATATTTACACTGCCACTACTTTTGTATATATGTTCTCGATTCTTGGTGTCCTCTCCAGCAATTTTTTGAATAGTTTTTATTTATATTTGCTATTCTTATTAATGTTAGATACCATTTCTTTATTAACTTATAATAATTTTCTTGATAATTTTTTCAAATGTCTTTATCCCCATAATTGTGACCACTCTGTTTCATTTATTTTCATCCCTAAATCTTTTTCCCAAATCTCCTTGAGGGTATTATTTTTTATTTTTTCTTCATTTATTTTGATTTTTATCATAATAATAATAATAATAATAATAATAATAATAATAACTTTACTAGTTATTCCTTTTAATTTTTTGTGTTCTTCTATATCCCTTCTATTTTGTATTATTTGTTCAAATTTTTGAACCATTGTTCTAATTGTATGCAATGGAACCGTGACTGAAACTTTTGAAAGAGAATATACAGTATTTGTATGAGGAAAAAACTTGAATATTCCTGTCTGTAAGGTTTCAGTTTATATCATTCCATCTCACCACGCTTTTCTTTCCTTTTTTTCTGCTCTCCAACTTGACGTCCTGGTAGATCGACACAGTGGTGCAAGTGCTGAAATCCAGAAAGAAGAGGAAAAGAAATTCAAAGAGGTCGGCGAAGCCTTCACCATCCTTTCAGATCCAAAAAAGAAAGCCCGTTATGATAGTGGACAGGATCTTGAGGAAGACGGCATGAATATGGGAGGTGAGTGCTAAGGAGGGTTTTTTCCTTGGTGACCTTCAAGTGTTTATGGTTACAGGATCTGAGGGAGGGCTGCAGCTGTTTTCAAAATCCAGATACAGGCAGTCCCCAAGTTGCAAACAAGATAGGTTCTGTAAGTTTGTTCTTAAGCTGAATTCGTTTATAAGTCGGAGTACATTTTTTAGGTGTAACACCAGCTTTGAATAGCAAAGAGAAGATTTAATACCTACCCCTGTGATGTTGGCTTTGCTGTCTGTGCCCCTGTTCAGAAGACTTCACTTCAATTCATTATTATTATTGTTATTATTGTTATTGTTATTATTATTTCGCATCTTTGAATCCCGTCCTTCTCACCCCCGAGGGGGGACTCAGGGCGGCTTACAACAGGCAACCATTTGGTGCCTATTTCTGTCCCTGTGATAACTGAAGCCAACAAGTATTTTTCATCAGATATAATTTAAGGTCATTCTCATAGAGCTTTTTTGCACTGAATTCACATCTGAGGCTTTTTGAATAATTAATGCATTTACACTCTGATATCAATTAGATTCTATTGGTATCAGTATGTAAATGCATTAATTATTCAAATAGCGTGATAGAGAGAAAAAATAAACAAAGATCTGAATTCAGCACACAAAAAAATCTATAAGAATGACCTAAAATTATATCTGATGAAAAATACTTGTTGGCTTGTGTTACAGGAATATGATGCAAAATGTGCCGACTCTACTGTAGTCTGCTGTAATGTACAATTCATATTTTTAAAAGTTGACATGACAGAAACAAAATAAAGACATATTTAAAATCAACATTAAAAATTAATTTAAACTGTGCTACTCTCATTTCTGATGCTTACAAAAAGTTTGATTTTTGGCTTTTGCAATTGGATTTTGACAAAATTTGTCTTGTGGAAATAAGGTGAGGATTGGTGGGAAAGCTCCAGTGGAGACTCCTTTTCCCCATGATAATTCTTCCAAGAACGGATTTCACTTCTGGAAGTAAATTTCCTCTCACTTCCTATTGTCTCACCCCTGTTCTTAACTATGAGTCGTTTGTAAGTCAGATGTTTGTAACTCGGGAACTGCCTGTATGTTCCCTGCATGTTCCCACAATAGACTCTAGAATTTTGAGTCTGAAGATAGCAAGTCTGCTTTAGCATCTTTAAGCAAAAGACTCTAAAATTGGGCCAACAGAAAAGAGAATGATAGTGACTAAGTTACAGAGCAAATATTCAGCCCTGTGAAACTTCCCAGTGCTTTTAGAGTGTATCACTATGAGTGTGTTTTTTATTGATCTGTTAAAAAACTTATCTAATCTAATCCTGTTTCTCTGTTTTTTTTTCTTCTTTTTCTACGCACATCCCCATTAGACTTTGATGCCAATAATATCTTCAAGGCTTTCTTTGGAGGGCCAGGAGGCTTCAGTTTTGAAGGTAAGTGGGATAGCCACAATGGTATCTATTCCAGAAATAGGGGGCCCTAAGTAGAGTGATGGGTCAGGGAGAGTGTAGTTTTCAACTCTGTAGAGAGATGAGGCAGGGAGAGTGTAGTTTTCAACTCTGTAAAGGGATGGGGCAGGGAGAGTGTAGTTTTCAACTCTAGAGTGATGGGCCAGGGAGAGTGTAGTTTTCAACTCTAGAGGGATGGGGCAGGGAGTACTAGGTTGTTGTTTTTTGAACAGATGAGAAACCCAGAAAGTTCAGATCACAAGGTCTGAATTTATTGGCACCCATGTACACACAAATACTTACTTCTCGAGAGACCTTCAGCCTGCTGTCTATCCAGAACCATGTTTTAAGCTCTTTTTCTTCAAATATCAAAGTCATGATGCCATCCCTTTAACTAAACTCTGTTTTTATCTTCTTGCCTTGGCCAATCAAGAGGCTTTTTCTCACCTACCATTGGCAGTCATTTAGAAGTGTGGTTGTTCTAAGAATAGTCATAGAGTTATAGGCTCTTTATATTCCCCAGAGCGGTGAGGTAAAAACAGACTTTTCTGTTTGGGGTTGGTGGGCTAACATTCATCCTTTTTTTAAAAGAAAAAAATGTCAGCCATTGCTGTGATGCTCAACTTCGTTTGCAGACCAGACCAGAGCATCCCTAGAGATAGGGTTGAGGTAGCCAACTCTAAACCTTTCCTTCTGTGTTTTGCAGCTTCTGGACCTGGAAATTTCTTTTTCCAGTTTGGCTAAACTGCAGAAGAATCCTGTTTCATCTACTGAAACCCACACTTTACCCGACCTGCTTCTTTTAACCTTGAGTTATGTTCTCCCTTCATCTCATCTCGCCGTTTCTTAGGGCTGTGGCGTTTTCTCCGTTGGAGACCTCAGTTTTTTGTGTGTGCTTTAGAGTGTGATGAGAAAACCAGCGCTTGGAGACAAGGGGGAGGGGGCAGTGAAGGAATATCATTTTTTGTTTGTTTTATTGTTAACTTTATTAAAGAGAGAGAGGGAGAGAGAGAAATAAAACCTTTTGATAAATGATTTCAAACTCCTGAGCTACTGGGACTTAACTGGGGGAATCCTCACTTACTTAGAACGGCCTGAGACTTTTCTCAAGGGCAGCTGGACACGACATGCCTTCATATTTATGTGAGTAATTGAGAACCTGATCAGATTTTCCTCACTTTGGTTTCATCACCCTGGCTGTAGCCACACTGAACTGTGTTTGCAAAGGCAATTGAGAAACCCAGGCGTAGAGCTGAGATTGATACCGTTACTCCCTGAGATCTTCACTTTTGGAATGAAGGCAAAAAACCTTCTTGTTGACACTTCTAATACCTCCAGAAAGTCTCATTTAATTTCAAGGGACAGTTTCTTTCTGCTTCCAGTTCTGGAGTACTTCAGGGAAATTGTTAAGGGCTTGATTTCACACAAGAGATGTTTGTCATTTACATCATGACCCCCAGCTCAACAAGTAAAACCTAGCTCCATTGGAAAGCGCATGCTGTCTTGAGTAATAACAAAGGCTCTGAATGGGCAGAGGGGGCTTGGATCAGCAGTGGCCCTTTCACACACACAAATCATCACTGATGGCACAGTTCATACCTGCAAATGCAAACTTAGTCAAAGTGTTGCAACTTTCCTTTGACAAATAAATTGGAATATCAAAATGCATGTATGGTCGAGAGGATTTCTCAGGATTGACCAACTACATGTCCTGCATTTAGAAGAAGAGTATCTTAATTATTTTAGGGGAAGGGCTCCTGTGTCTGCTCCGCAGCCCTCGCTTGTAGCATGTTATGAAGTCGCTTCTACGAGTGCCTCCAAATACAATTCTTTGCGCGGAGAGCCGAGATCACAATATTCTGGGATATTCTTTGTATTGATGGAGCCTCATATTTCTGAGCTGAGTTGCTCATCTTGACATTATCAAATGGGTTGTTTTGTAAGATGACAATTTGTAATTAAAAAAAATAGCAGCCAGCCACCCTGGAATTGCTGGTTGTCCTGTGTGTTAGTTTTATCGTATGCTGGACTAATAATTATATTGACCATCCCAAGTGACTGCTTTCATGATACCTCCTTCTTTTGCCGTTGTTTCATAGTAGCAAAAGATCAGAAGCAAACTATCTTCTTCCTCACAAGGCTTCTAGTTTTCACACTCTGGCGGTTTCTTCCAATATTAAGGACAAGCTTATGGTGTTCACCTCAGATCAGCTGAGAAAGGAGGTGTATATCATCATAGACCTGAACATCTTTGGCCACCTTCCTGTCCAGAACTATTTAATCAACCAACCCTGAAATGCGGAGGATTTTTTTTAATGAGTAATTACCCAGAGACTTGTTTTTGTGCAATAACTAGAATGATGTTCTGTGAAATGTTAGCCAACCATCAGGCAATGTTTTAGAATGCGTTGAGATCATGGCTTGAGATTTTCTTCTATTTTTTCAAGTTCTACTTTTGGCTCTTGGCAGTTTTTGATCTTCATTCATTTTCATTCCCCTCAGAGGAACTCAAAAGAGAAACAATGGCAAGGGATGCAATCTACTGGAAGATGCCCTACAGCTATTGCACTCTGGTCTGACAGGTGTAGAGAGTGAGGGTTAGCATTTGGAGAAGGAACCAGGAACACAGTTATCTCAGTAATGTGAAAATCTTTCCATGATGCCTCCTGGGCAGGGAATATTGCTACCTCTGATTTAAAGTTGCATTTTGTAGTCACACTAATAGAATTTATTTCATAGGCTGAGTATACACATCCGGAACATAAATAATGTTGGATTCCGTGCATCATTCACTAACATTAAAAAATGTGATATTTGTTCAGTAACTGGCAGAAAAAAAGCAATACCTTTTGGGTGTTGGGTTATGCTGAAAGATCTACCAGCAAAACCTTCTCTTCAGAGGCCAGATATTACCTTCCACATGGAAAAGTAAAATTGCATCATCCTGTGAATTTCCCCTCCTAAATATCTTGGCAAAATGAAATAGCTTTGACTTTAAATGTCAAATGAAGATTGTGTAAGTTCAGTAGATAGCGACCTGGTCCTCTGACCAGCTGAACAGCGGGAGTTGTTTTAAAGCTTAGGATGTTGCTTTCTCATCTTAAAATGTGTGTATTCCACAAACAGTAAAAGGTTTCTGAGAATTTGCTGTTGTTTGTAAACTTGGAAACTGGTGAGTGCCAATTTGAAAACTATTGTCTTGTTTTGCCTTTACTATATTTCTGGATCTTGAACGTCAGCCTCTACTCAAAGCAGCCCTGAACGGAGTCTTGTCGATACCTACTTTCTTTGCATTATAGAGCATTGTGTGTAGAGTGTACTTTAAAAGTTCTCCATCCTGGTGTGGCATGCTAGAACTTTGCATTTTATTCTTAGCTGTTGGACCTGCATTTCAGAATTACCAGACAAATTATATTACTGATGGCCCCATACTCATTTTCTAACTGTCTCCGAGACCTGATGGAGTACACCTGCAGAAAGAGAAGGAGGACGAGGAATCCTCCGATTATAGAGTGACTATTGGGGAAAATAAAATCCTCCCTATGTAAACATAAAATAGAAAACAGGTACAGATGCGAGCTTCCAATTTGTTCCTCACTATGCCAAGTTTTCTTCCAGGACTTTTTTAAAAACAGAAGCATTAAACACAGCAGCCATCACTTGCAGTCTCAATTGTATCATTGACTTTGTCATTTTATCCTGCTGCTTTTGTAAGCCTGGCATTAATGGGAGGAAACAAGGCTTTCTAAGGATGAGCCAAGGAGCAGCTTCCACTACTTAGGAGCTCCTGGTCTCAGGACAGTATGTGAAAGGAAGTTGTCATTGTGCCTCAAATATTTGCAACCCCTTTTTCTCTCTCTCTATACATTGCCTGGTCATCCTTCCTTGCATGAATTGTGTCCTCCTAGCTATACAGAAACATTAACAAGGAATACCTAAACAGAGGGCAGATGAGCCACTACTGAAGCTATTTGGAGAGGGGTTATTTAGCTATTCATATTATACTGTGTTAAACCTCAGTGTGAGGACCTAGCCTCCCTGTTGAGACGTTTGTTGCATGAACTGTTTTAGAAGAGCTCCCTGGCCCCCTCCTTCCTCTCCTCTCTCCCGGGGATATGGCTTCACACATAAACAATACACTGTCCCACTGGAACACTTTCACCTTTCTAAGATGACGAAAAGTCAAGGAGAACACAGACTTGTGACTATTTGATCGGCAGGATTCATAATGTGTTTATACGCAAAATTTCAAAACCAGACTGAAGCAAAAACCATATGCAATTGATATTAACTTTATTATAAACTGTATATGATGTACAAAACAAAAATAAAACACTCCAGATCTCACTGGTGACTTTTTGCCTGCTTGAACAGATTATAGACACGGCTGAACCAGGATGTGGAGGCATGGAGCTCGATTGAATAAGTAGCTATAGACTTCCCATCCACTCAAAAGAAGGCTGTGATGGTAAATATTAAGTTGTTAGAGGCATATCTTAGGTGAGATTGAGGCAGAAGGGATTTCTTAGCCCTTTGGGACACACCTTGTCTGGGTCTCCAGATCATTCAACATGTGCTGGCATTGAGTCTGGATTACTACAGAAAGGCAGCATATAAATAGAAGGTGACTACAATATTTTGATGCCAAAATCAGATCAGGTCAAGCACCAATTCCTAGGATTATTTTTCCTCCAGATATTTCTGAATTGTGCGAATGAAACATAGAAGGAGCTCTTCAACAGTCAACAAGATCTTGGGGGAGCAGGCCACAAACGCAGCTCATTCCCAAGTCAAAGCATCTGGTGTTTGCCAGCTTCACATACCCATGACAGTCTCATCTCTCACTAAACAGATTTAAATCCCATTCTTTTTGTGCGTGTACTCTGAAAGTTCACCTAGTGATAGCTTGAGCAAAGTGTTTTAATACTGAACAGCATTGTTTAACTGTCAACACCTTTCTATATATTAATAACATTTATTTCAATATACTTTACAGTTATGTCTAAGCTGCTACTAAGATTTGAATCAGAATTAAAGCATTTTTAAAAACTACTCGGAACGCTGGGATATGCTACTTCCACATAAGTAAAAAGAGACCAACTGTATTCAAGAAAAGTAACATTAACATGAATTTTACCATTAGACAACCAGCAGGAACCATTTCAGTATCTGGTACAAGTAGTAGGCACAAGAAAGTTACAATGTGATGGATGTGTCCGGAGCAACATCATTAGCATGACTAGCTTCCTTTAGACATTGCTAGATACTCAAAAAGTTTAGATGGATAAAAAGAAAACCAGCCCTATCTTGCTTTAAATACTGATTGGTGGAATTTTAGACTTCATGTGAAGTCTGCATTTGGGCTGAGTTCATACCTTCTATTTTAAGTCTTTTCAGTTAACATCCATATAATGTTGCGCAAACTAAACAAAACTAGATAAGGTTGTAAGGTAAGGGTGGAGAACCAAAGACCCTAGGGCCAAATCTGACCTTTCTGGGGCCCTGCTGCATTTTTTCTATGAGAGTTGAATGAAAAGTAATGCCTCCACCTTTGTAACTCCTCAACAGATGGCAGTACTGGTATGCGGCAGGTACTGGCTTGTTCAGTAGACTCTCCTCTACACTTCCATTTTGGTGGGAAGCCTTAGCATTGAATGGTTGTGTTGTTAAAGTGCGAAGTATGGAACCCTGCACAGACAGTTGGTCAATGCGACTTAAGCAACGTGCAGCCATTGAATTCTTGAGAGCAGAAGGTGTCACCTCAACATCTTTAAACTTGCTTGCCCAACAACGCACAGTACTCAGATCAACACAATCACCATAAACAGCTTGCATTCTCTGATGAATCTCCTTTGGAGTGACACCTGCTGTCAAGAATTTAATAACTGCACGTTGCTTAAGTCGCATTGACCGACCATCTGCACAAGGTTCCATACTTTGCACTTTAACAACACAACTGTTCAATGCTAAGGCTTCCCGCAAAAATGGAACTGTAGAGGAGAGTCTACTGAACAAGCCAGTACCTGCCACATACCAGTACTGCCATCTGTTCAAGTTCTCCTCAAGGAGGACCTCCTTGCGGCAACACCAGAGGCACTCCAAGTGGCCAGCTACTGGTCAAAGGACATTTAATCAACTACCAAGCTTGCAAACTCTGTTTTGTCTGTTCGTTAAAAATTTGTTTAAAATGTAATACAATTTTCTGGTTGATACTGACACGATAAATAAAAATCTGTTGGGTTATGAAGGTGGAGGCATTACTTTTCATTCAACCCTCGTACATTGCCATGCCCCTTTTCTATTGGGTATTTTTTATCCACTGTGTTTTTTGCTGATTTGAGAGGCATGACTTATTGGAGATCATGACTGAAAGATGTTCCGCAAGTACTTGGAACTGAAATTGGGCCCTTGGACTGAAAGAGGTTCCCCACTTCTGCTGTAAGGGCATTTTTTAGGAAGATGTAGTGTTCCCATTGTTTTGTGCGAAAGTCTTTTTCCTTTAGCGAGACTCATATTCAGTGAAAGTATACAGATGGAGGAAGGACCCTCCTAAGCATTACCATACATAAGCCAACTCAGCTATAGGGCTTTAGGTCCCATTTGTATTGCAAGGTTTTATTACAGATCTTTAAAGAAAAGCACTCCAGATCCTGAGTGCATTTTGAGAAACAAGATGGAAATAAATGCTGCTATAGCTGGAATACAGGTATTCAGCTGCCTACTTAATATTTTTAAAGGATCTCTGTAGAAAATGCAAACCTTTGATAATGGATGGGCCTGAAATCCAATCTGTTCTTGCAGCAAAGTGGCTAAGAGTTAATCACTTCATATGTACATCCATCCAGGCTAGTGGCTTCAATGTCATTTGGGGGACCAATCCATTCTGGATTTTAGTCTCAACCTTACAAGATGATACCTAAGAGGCTGATCCTTAACCCCCAAAGCAGGATCAGGGACTTAGAAAGAGCTTTTTAAAGTTGGGACTAAAACTCTTGAGTGCTGCCCCACTGGAATGGGATCCCCCAGCCAACCCATTGCATATCCAAAATATTAATAGTGCTATCAGACCTGGGGCAGGCAATACCCCTTTTGAGGTTTTAAAATATGTGGCTTGCCTTTTATTTTTAGACTGAAAGCCTACTACCAATGTATTGTTATAAAATCAAAAGGCATATATACAAACACTCCTTTTCCATGTTTAATCAGTATATGAAGAACCTATAAGAGATGGTTTCTTTCTGTTTTGGTTCTTTATGCATTGAAGACAGGAGTGGGACCTGGTCTAAACTGCACGTCCCATCCGCCCTAGACAATTTAAAGGAATGCTAGAAGTTACAGTCCAGCAATATCTAAGGGCCACACACCTGATTTCAGACAATTCTAGCTTTAAAAAATTAAATATTTTCCTTGAATCTGAATTCTATGCTTGTGTCAAGCCAAAGAAATCTCAGTTTTGAAAACTTCAAAGATTGCAATCCTTCATGATGCTACCCAGGAATAATACTACTAAAACACCATCGTATTTACTCCCAGGAAGACATGCGCAGGATTGCATCAAACATATTTTGTACACCATCACCATTAGCATATTTAACAATAATGCATATAAATTACTTCTGTGCTCTTCAATACAGCCTTGTAAACAAATCCCTTTACATAAAGCCCTCTCCGACTATCATGAATGTTCTGAGGGCAACATTGTCTACTGTTTGAAAGGCTTTACAAACTATTTCTACCACCACCCTACAAGGTGCCACTGGATTTCCTACACATGCCATAATAGAAAAGAGTTCCCATCACTCATAAAATATAGAAAAACTCTCGCTCATGACATACAGTTCCATTGTCTCTCTCCCTACTATGGGCATTCAATGGGAGAGAAGGCACTTCCTTTCAGCTAAACAGTCCCTGAGGCATCATTGATATACTAGTTCAACTTTCTCAAGAAGAGGTACCCACTGTTCTGAGATGCTGGAAAGTGGCATCCAAAACATCTTCAGGGCACCAAGTCGGTGTAGACTATACTAAGGCTGTTCCTGGAAGTCGCCAGGCCCTAGCAAATGGCTAGCTTTGTTTTGAAGAAGTGCAGACGAAGGAGGAGACCACCAATCTCTCCCTTCGCCTGTTTAGTAGGAACGAATGGGTGAAAATTCAAATATTAATTTAAATGTGTGAAAGAAATAGTGCCAAAGTGTATGACAAGGTGCTACATTAAGCAGATAGATCAGTGGTTCTCAACCTGTGGGTCCCCATGTGTTTTGGCCTACAATTCCCAGAAATCCCAGCCAGTTTACCAGCTGTTAGGATTTCTGAGAGTTGAAGGCCAAAACATATGGTGACCCACAGGTTGAGAAGCACTGAGATAGATCATATCTGCATATAGCACCATGGCCAAAAACCATGTATTATTATGTTCTAGCCCTTTGTACCACAACCATCTCCCCATCTCCACCACATTGATCAGATTCCAAGATGAGTAGCTGCTGCTTATCCCTGAAGATGGGGAAGAGCCATGCTGAGGAATGGCTTGTCTTGGCTTAGAAGGGGAAAGGAAATGGGAATGCACCCTCTGAGGGCCCTTCCAGACAGGCCCTATATCCCAGGATCTGATCCCAGGTTTTCTGTTTTAAACTGGATTATATGAGGCCCCACTGCCAGATAATCTGGGATAAACAGAAAACCTGGGATCAGATCCTGGAATATAGGGCCTGTCTGGAAGGGCCCTTAGACTGGATCTACACTGCCCTATATCCCAGGATCTGATCCCAAATTATCTACTTTGAACTGGATTATATGAGTCTCTACTGCCAGATAGTCTGGGATAAACAAATAATCTGGGATCAGATCCAAGGAATATAGGGCCTGTCTGGAAGGGCCCTTAGCTTGGATCTACACTGCCCTATATCCCAGGATCTGATCCCAAATTATCTGCTTTGAACTGGATTATATGAGTTTCCACTGCCAGATAATCTGGGATAAACAGGTAATCTAAGATCAGATCCTGGGATATAGAGCAGTATAGATTCAGCCGTATACATTTCCTGTGGAATTACATCGGTTGAACCGCCTCCCCATTCCCAAAAGGTAAGCAGCTGTTACTATATCTGTTTTGGATGCTGCACAAAAGGTTACAAAACGGCACCTTTCACTCTATAAAAAATATCACACAGGCCATAGACACTCATATGTCACTAGCAAGAATCCCAACACTATGCAACCCAAAATTTCCCATTTGCAAGCACTCTGCCAATGACTATATTGCTTTGATAAATGTAAATTGTTGTTAAGGACTTGCATAGTCTTTATCCACTAAGAAGACCAAAATGGGCAATCTCAGCAAGGGAGGATAAGAGATCACTAAAGCAGAAATAATAGAGACGAGGTAAGTCTGGTTTTGAAAGATGAAGAAGAGAGATGCTTTGCATCCATCCACTTCAACTGACATGACTCTATCCAATAGCATCCTGAGATTTGAAGTTTAGGGAAGGGTACTTAAAGCATCAGTAAGAGAATTTCTGTGCATCACTAAACACAAATCTCAGGGTGCAGCCATGGCAATTAAAGTGGAATCACAGTCGGATAATGGCATACTGTGAAAGAAACATGTGAGTGTGCTAGTACCTCAATCTGGAGTATCTTAAGTCCACTTCTTAGAGATATAATGCGTTTTGCTATAACCTGGGGACAAGAAAAGTGTCTGACCCCCAAAATTATATCTCAAGGAGGGAATTCCATAGCCCTCTTGCAGTGGTTTGGTCTTTAAAATATTTTGGACTTCACTTCCCAGAATCCTAAACTATTTGACCTGCTGGCAGAGTCTTCTGAGACTTGAAGTACAAACTAGGTGTAGAATCAAAGTTTCAGAAACTTTTCCCTATAAAGCAACCTCCTTCCACCCCAAAATATGCAACTTAGAAGAATAGCTTCTCCTGGATAATTCCAAGAGTTCACTTTATAAACAAGATGCATTCCATGTACTGTCGAAGGCTTTCATGGCCAGAATCATTGGGTTGTTGTAGGGTTTTTTGGGCTATATGGCCATGTTCTAGAGGCATTCTCTCCTGACGTTTCGCCTACATCTATGGCAAGCATCCTCACTACCTCTGAGGATGCTTGCCATAGATGCAGGTGAAACATCAGGAGAGAATGCCTCTAGAACATGGCCATATAGCCCGAAAAAACCTACAACAACCTAGGATGCATTCCTCCCCAGGTCTTGGCCTACACCCAAATGTGTAGGTGGGCCAATAGAGGTGAAAAATGGCCCCTGGACCTAAAGTACATGCTCACCCCTGCTCTAGCTTTACCCTTGCAACAGAATGAGTTGGTAGAGCCATTGCATCAAGAGAAAAGATGGCACCATTTCAGGACAGAGGTGGCACATGTTAATTGTGAATAATCCCTCAATTTATGTGTTTGTTTTCTAAAACAACCTGAAAATAGGGGGGAAAAACAAGAAGAGGAGGAAGCAAAGTCCTCGCCTTGTTTTTTCCTCTGCTATGCTGGCTTTCTTTTCTGCAGGAAGTTGTTTTAATAGACTACAAAGGAGAAGGAAATTCCTGAAATGGTGTAATTTCATCTACTATGATGGCAATGGGTAGTGGATTTATGTGAGCACCAGCTGTATTAAGGCCTTAGGACATGCACTGTTTCTACACACTAGAAAAGGGATCCAAATTAATCTTAGTTTTTATGCATCAAAAAGTGTCTGGTTTCTTTCTTAAATGACAAAGAGCAGGGGAGAAGTATCTTGGTAGGAAACGGGGCTGTGCGTGAATTTATTGAATGAGAAGATAATGTGTGTACGTGTGTGTGTTCTTAGAAAAGGTTACACAGGGATGTAGAACCAGAGGAGTCTGCCTTTAGATGATGACGCAGGCATTAAGGGGTGACCCCCGCTTGCTGCCCCCTTGAGTTGGCACCAGTTTCCCCTTTCCGTAGTAGCCGGAAAAGATGGCCCTGACTTCAATCTTTTTGGAGAACACCAGCATCCAAAGGCCATTCCCGTATGACAAAAGTTTCCCGCCCCCAATCTCCCCAACCTCCTCGCCTTTGTTCCCCGCCTTCTCCAGCTTGGCAAATTCGAGGAGGTCCAGGCCGGTCTGGACGGCTTCTATCCCACTGGCACAGCCCAGGGTGATGTGGGCCCGGCTGCCTTTGGGGAAGCTGACCGCTGGTGGGAGCACGTCCACATCGCTCGGCCACAGGGCCAACTGCTGCTCATTCAGTTCCACACGGGCCCCGACAGTTCTTGGGGTGATGAAGAGAGCAGTGGTGGTCAGGAAGAAGGATTTCCCATAAGAGGACTTCACAATCTGTGGAAGACATTGTTTCAGTTAAAGACGTCCAATTTCCCAAGCTTTAAAAACAGTCTACAAGGCATTGGGGCATTATTGCCATCTTGTAGAGCAGGGGTCCTCAAACTTTTTAAAAAGAGGGCCAGGTCACAGTCCCTCAAACTGTTGGAGGGCCAGATTATAATTTGAAAAAAAATGTATGATGAATTCCTATGCACACTGAACATATCTTATTTGTAATGCAAAAAACACTTAAAAACAATACAATAATGAATATGAAGAATAATTTTAACAAATATAAACTTATGAGTGTTTCAATGGGAAGTGTGGGCCTGCTTTTGGCTGATGAGATAGGACTGTTGTTGTTGTTGTTGTTGTTGTTGTTGTGTACTTTCAAGTTGTTTCAGACTTAGGTTGACCCTGAGTGAGGGCTGGGTAAATGACCTTGGAGGGCTGTATCTGGCCCCCGGGCCTTAGTTTGAGGACCCCTGTTGTAGAGGGACATTTTAGGCCTTTTCTAATAAGTAATCTCTAAGGTCTAAAATGGCCCAAGGTAAGTACATACTTCACAGCACCTAGAAGGTACTGATGGGCATTTTGGAGCAAAACAATTTGGGAGTTATTCAGGTGCTTTTGAGTGTAAGAAGGACTACATCCAAGATACGGCCCCTTGCCTCCCATAGTTGACCACCTCTAGGTTAGCAGGTCCCATCTACATTCCTTCTAATTTAAATTACAGGTAAAATGTTGAAACCCACTGGGCAATCTTGGACAAGGCACATTCTCTCAGCTTGAAAAAAAGAAAACCTCGATGAACAGGCCTTGCCAAGAAAATCCCAAGATAGGTTTACCTTAAGGTAAAGGTAAAGGTTTCCAATGACATTAAGTCTTCTTGTGTCTGGACGGTGGTGTTCATCTCCATTTCTAAGATGAAAAGCCGGCATTGTCCGTGCAAAATCTGTGTGTTTTTTTTTCTTTTTCTTTTTAATCTGTGTGTTTATTTTGTTCTGTTAGAATTGTAACACAATGGTATGGTTGCTGATGACACGATAAATAAATAACCTCCAAGGTCATGTAGCCGGCATTACTGCATAGAGCACCATTACCTTCCTGTAGAAGCAGGACCTATTGAGCTACTCATATTTGCATGTTTTCGAACTGCTAGGTTGGCAGAAACTGGGCCTTACAGTGGGAGCTCACCCCCCTCCCTGGATTCAAACCGCCAACCTTTCAGTCAACAAGTTCAGCAGCTCAGTGGTTTAACCCACTGCGCCACCAGAGGTTTACCTTAGGGTCGCCATAAGTCAGAAATGTCTTGAAGGCACACAAGAGCAAAGTATGTGTTAATTGAGACTGAGAAAAAAGTAATTATATGTTTCTACCTTCCATTTCACCTCAAAGCAATGGAAATAAAATAGAAATACAAAAGCACAAGTGTGGTTATTCACACTTTGGAATTAAATTGTTTCTAAACCACCCACCATCTTTCTGAATACTACACTGTTGTGCTAAAGCCATATATTTCAGAGCAGCTAACAATATACAATTAAATATACATGCCAACAAAAAAATTAAAGACCATTTGTAGCATAAAAATAAACAGTTGACATCCTATTAGTTATTTCCAACCAGAATAGGACTGTTCAATCAATTGTCAAATGGTCAGACAAGAGATAGGTAACTTCCACCAATTCAATTGATCTACTCTAGTCAAGACTAACATCATTTAGGGCAGTGGTTCTCAACCTGTGGGTCCCCAGGTGTTTTGGCCTACAACTCCCAGTAATCCCAGCCAGTTCACCAGCTGTTAGGATTTCTGGGAGTTGAAGACCAAAACATCTGGGGACCCACACATTGAGAACCACTTATTTAGAGCAAGCGTTTAGCTAACACAGTTATCAAGATGCATACAGAAATATTTATACAGTTTCAGCAAGGGTAGGAAAAATAGTTTTTGCATGTGTAGTCCTTTGGAAATGATCTATTTGCATCTTTAAAGGAAGACGGGCAAAGAAGTTAGACTTTCCAACATGGGTCCATCTTGAAAGCACCAGGACTTCCTACCCAAAATAGAAAGAAGCTAAAACACTCACCTCCTGCTGTGCGTAGTCATCTGCTCCTGGGGCCTTTCCAAAGTCAGTGAATTTGGTGGTACAGTGCAAGACACTGGGTGGCCTTTTCGCAAAGTAGCCAGTCAAGTCAATTTTCACTTTGGGGTCTTCGCTGGCTTGTCCAACTGCAAACCAAAAGGAGGAGAATAATTTTATAACTTCTTCCCTTTCAATACTGTATCAAGTAGGATTAAACAGACTTTTCGAAGAATGCATTAGACATATTAAAATTATGAGTGCAGAGAAACAGATGAAAAAGGAAAACAAGGATGGTTGTGTGAGTATTCCTACAATATGATCATCTTATGTGAAGTATTTGACTGTCTTATATCTTTCTGCTTGTACTAATTTATATGTTATCTAATGCATGAATATGTGTCAGACTTGGAAAATAACAGATTAAATAGAGGCAAATTATATTTTCCTCTCACTATGCACATAACAGTATGAGAATTCATAGATCTTCTACCTTGATGCTGGTGCTTAAGACCAAGAATGGAAAATGGAATGTTGGCTGGCAGGAAAAGAGATTCAAAGATGGGCTCAAAGCCAATCTTAAACACTCTGGCATAGACTGAGAACTGGGAAGCCCTGGCCATTGTGTGCTCCAGCTGGAGGTCAGCTGTGACCAGCAGTGCTGTAGAAGAGGCACGAATGGAGGGCGAAAGAGAAAAATGTGCCTAGAGGAAGGCGCATCAAAGCCAACCCTGACAAGGACCACCTTCCACCTGGAAACCAATGTCCTCACTGTGGGAGAACACACAGATCAAGATCCACAGTCACTTACAGACCTACTGTCAGTACACTGATCTTGGAAGACTATCCTACTTGGACAATGACAGATCGCCTAAATAAATAAGTAAGCTTAAGACCTGCACTGAGAAAGCATAACATAAATGCTACCTAGTGGATTTTTTTTTTAAAAGGATTTTTTATCAATGGATTTTTGAAGGCACTTGAGGTGTCACGTTATCAAGAGTTTTAGCTCCTTGGCAAAAGTTTTCTAGCAAATGGCCTTGAGAACCATAACTCTTAGGTGTCTAGGGAGTTTAAGCACAGCCATTACCTCTTGATACCATAAGTTCAGTCTAGAATGGTAACCAGATTTAAACCAGTGCAATTTTGACCTGAAACAGCAGGAATCAGTGCAAGAGTAGGTAATTCAATGACCTCCAGAGACTGTTGGATTGCAATTCCCAACATCACACATTGCGTAGCATTGGGCACTACTATGGAGCAGAAGAGGAAGAAACGTCATTGATGGCAGCCACTTCCTTCCTTTTACTACCAAGTTACAGAGTTTAGAAATGTGGACTGCAACTCCCACTATCTGGCTACTGCCATCCTCACACCAAAAAGTTATTTTTCCAAGTCTGCCCTTCTGAATACATCTAAATCTATTTTAATTTTTTAGACAACAACATGAAAAGTATATCCTGATGTGATTAGTAGGACATTATATTGAGTATAGCTGAAATGATGTACATAAATTGTGAGAATGGACTTTCTTTCTTACTTCCAATTTGCTCAGGGATGTAACAATAGATCTGAAAACCAGCTTAGACCCAACTAATGGTAATTGGACAATGACGGTAATTAAATGGTAATTAATCTAATGGTAATTATGCACCAACAATAAGTGTAACATCCAAGACTATTCCTGGAGCTAGAGAGTTGAGCAATCTTCCTTTTTTGGGGGGGGGGGGGCTTGCTGGTAGGTCTTTCTGCCTTAAGCCTGTGCAAAACAAGACTGGAAATTTACTTTCTGGATGAAACTAACATTTTGGATCACTGATCAAAGCTCTGGTTCTGAGCACTGAAGGGCCTGTGATCACCATATTGTGGTCTCTCCTCCTGCCCCATTCTGTAGAGATGAGAAATGTATGCCTCTTTAGATGCCGTGAGACTCTCAAATCCCCATCAGCCCTAGGCAGTGTATCTATGTGTAAGGATCCACAGGGACCTCTGGAGTTTTTCCTGCTCACCATTTCTGTTATCAAGACTCATTTGGCATAAAATGTTGGGGGAGAAGGATGCCCAGAGAAGGCACCAGAGCTCTTTAAGGCCCACAATTGAAATCTCAAGGTGGTTTTAAGTGCCTTGCCCTAGCTATACAAAAAGCTAAAGAACTTAGACCAGTTAAAATTTTGGATTACAAAGGTAATTTTTCCAAACTGCAGAGAGACACATCAGGGGATGTTGCTCAACTTGCATAAGATATACAAGATTGCCCCTTTTCTTTCTGAAAATATGATATGAGTAGAGAGAATACACAGATGCGCAGTGCCAGGTAAGATTCCTCCTTCTGGAAACACATTAGAAAGCAAAGATCTTATGACACATGAGCCTTTCTCTGGGATTTTTTTTCTAGGCATCTATAGCACCAAAAGGCTGACTTTGTCCTTATATACAACTGTCTTAAGAAGAGAACAATGAATCTTGGTGATGGATTGAATGTATGATAATCCCTGATTGAATGTATGATAATTCCTACCTTATCCCCGGAATCCCTTCCTAATATTTTACACTGCCCTATCTCCCAGTGTTTTTAAAATTTTAATCTTTGAATTTGGCCCTGCTCACTGTGATCATTTTGAGTGTTTTAATGTTTTGATTTTATATTGTTGTGCTGCTTATTTATGTTGGTTTTGTATTTTATGTTATTTTATTTTCTGATTTTCTGTTGTGTTTTTGTGTTATATTGTGTTTACTGTATTGATGGGCATGGCCTCATGTAAGCCGCCCCGAGTCCCCTTGGGGAGATGGTGGTGGGGTATAAATTATTATTATTACTATTATTATTATTATTATTATTATTATTATTATTATTATTATTCTGGAGGTCACCATATGGATTAGAATGAGTGTCAACTCTCCTCATTTGCTGGAGTTAGGAACACCAGACCTGCACAAAGGTAGAAAAATCTAACATGACATGCTGGAAGACTTAGGCTTCTTATACACTGCCATACAAACCCAGATTATCTGCTTTGAATTGGATTATATGCAGTATAGACTCATATCATCCAGTTCAAAGCAGATAATGTGGATTAAATAGGCAAATGGGGAAAACCAACTGTATTTGGGCAGTCCCCGCTGCAGCAGCTCTGCTGTCGATGGGGTGAAGCCGCCACAATTTAATTTGAATTTTAAAGGAAGTATCCAGGGTGCTGCATCTATTTAAGGTGAAATCTAGTTTAGATTCACTACTTGGAAAGCTGCTTCAAAATTGAGATAAAAACACAGCAGTTGCATTGCCATAGACCCATCCCACGCAATACATGGGCAGGTGGCAAATGTTCAAAATCCTACACAATCTACCTCTCCACTACTTTTCAGACCTCTTTTTTTAACCAGCCTGCTTGAGGATTGGCAAACAAGGAATGCTAGCTTTTTCCTGCAATCAAGAGTTTCCTCTTTCTTGGTTCAGCTTTGTCCTTTTCACTTGCTGCTCCATATTTTTGGAATTGCCACCCTGAACTCCTTCCTTCATATTTTAAATTTCAATTATTTTTTTCCCCAAAGCTTTTGAAATTTTAGGTTAATATTGTTTTATAAACCTTGTATGTTTTAATTGCATGTATTGAATATTTTGGTTCTTTTTTTGTATTTTAGCGGGATAATTTGTTTTGTTATTGTATTATATTGCTTTATATTTCATTATTAACCCCTCACATTTGGAAGTTTAACTTTTGCATATTTGATTAATATGCTGTTGTCAACTTCTGTTGGATTCCTAGAAAAGTGTTCTCTGCATTATAAAAAAGCAACTATGGAGGACTGACTATACATATATTTTAGATGTACACCTTCAGCAGGACCCATTGCTTTGGCCGGTTTACTTGTACAGTGCAATATACAATGATAACACTATATACACTGACAAAGAAGAAAATGTATTTTCTCATCATTGGGCTTCAAATACTCCAGGATGGGTTCTCAGTCCACCAGTTTAACACCATTTGGACATTCTCCTACAAGTACATCCCTCAATAGGATAGGTTCTCCTTGGCACCATCTTGTTGGCATGTATTTCTATTATTCTCAAACAACAAGCAATGAACGAAGAATGCATGGCCTGATATTAGAAGGCTAATGGGCACTGCTTGGGAAATATACCTATTGAACGACAGCTCCCAGTTAGATCTGAGGGTTAATACTTTTTTGGACTATAACTTTCAGCCAGCATGAAGCTGTGACACTAGCAAAGAACGAGCAACAGTATTGTATTGTATTGTATTGTATTGTATTGTATTGTATTGTATTGTATTGTATTGTATTGTATTGTATTGTATTGTATTGTATTGTATTGTATTGTATTGTAACAATGGTGATTTTCCCAAGGTAAGAAAAAAAACTTAACTAGTGACAAAGACCTAGGGCAGTGGTTCTCAACCTGTGGGTCCCCAAATGTTTTGGCCTTCAACTCCCAGAAATCCCAACAGCTGGTAAGCTGGCTGGGATTTCTGGGAGTTGTGGGCCAAAACACCTGGGGACCCACAGGTTGAGAACCACTGACTTAGGTAGACGGGGAGACTGGAATGCAAGTCAATTGAGGAATGTCTACTGCTTGTGCAGCTTAGGGCCAAAGAGTAGCTTTGAAAGATTTTCTCTAGGAAGAAGTAGAGCAGTGGTTCTCAACCTGTAGGTCCCCAGATGTTCTGCCCTTCAACTCCCAGAAATCCTAACAGCTGGTAAACTGGATGAGATTTCTGGGAGTTGTAGGCCAAAGCACCTGGGGATCCACAGGTTGAGAACTACTGACCTAGAGATACACAGACCTGTTCTCTCAGGTCTTTGCTTATAGCTTTGTTTTTGTTTATAGCTTTACCAGGTTCATGTCCCTAACTCCTGCAAATGTGAAGGATTGAATGATTTTGGGTACTTGGGCCACCAAGGAAAAAGAGGAAACACTTCTATGTTTTCCAGTTACCCTGAGAACTAGAAATGTGGGCTGCCCTCCTTTTGCTAAGTTATAACAGCACAAGTTGGACTGAACAAATGTCATTGATGTAGAGGTCTGAAAACACAACAACCCAGATCTTCTCCACCAAAACCACCTAGAAAAGTAGGACAGGCCCCCAACATAGCCATTTCCAAGTTCTTGGAGAGCCAGGAGTTCAGCAGAGATACATTCAGCTATTTCCCATCCAGCTGAACATGCTGCAAGAACACCATCTGCAGGGACTTCCCAAAGACCCCCAGAGGGCTCTACAAATGCCTCTCATGGTGTATCCAGATACCAGAACAGTGGTTCTCAACCTGTAGGTCCTTTGATGTTTTGGCCTTCAACTCCCAGAAATCCCAACAGCTGGGAAACTGGCTGGGATGTCTGGGAGTTGTAGGCCAAAATACCTGGGGACCCACAGGTTGAGAACCACTGTACCAGAAGATAGCTGAACTCATCGTCGGCGGTCATCCAGCTCTCCAACAACACAGAAATGGCCATTTTGTGAGGAGGTCACAACTGTGCTGCTCCAAGGTGGGGCTTTAATAGATAGTATCAGGAGACATAGCTTCAGAGATGATGATGCAAAGTCTCAGCCTTGAGAAATAAAAGGCAGCTGAGGATTTATTCCACAAGTACAGAACGTGACAGCCTCAGCAAAGAATCCCAAGATAAGCATCCTGAAAACTAGCCTGAAGCCACTCTTCTTGTGCTTACTAGTAGGAGAAGGCTGATTCACATGGGTTAGTAGATGCAGATTCAATGCAATTAAAAGCTTTAGTGGAGGAAAGAAAACCCACAGTGCTTATTGGCCTCCTTTTTGAAGACTTTAGAATTGGCAAGCTCATCCAAAAATGCCTGCCCGGTCTTCCGCAAGTTCTCCGAGCTCCGTTTACTCAAAAACCATCCATAATACAAGGGAAGGAAGTCCTTTTCTAAGCTGGGCTTCAGCTTCTTTAGATCATCCACTGTAAGTTTCCACTGATTCTTATCCTTGAGCTGCAAGCAATCCAATTTCCACGCCGTCTTGGGCTCTGCAATGATGACTTCATAGCGGTACTTGTCAGCAATGTCGAAGAGCTGATCTAGCCGTTCCCGCTCATGATGAGTGTCATCCACCACCACCACACTGACGTCACGCTTGCAATAGGCATTTAGATCCTCGTCTACCTTGCCGTAATCATCAGGAATGGCGCTCCGGATGGCTGGCTGGATTTTGTACTTGTCAACAGAGACGATTCTGCAAGCATCTTTGTACTTGTCTTGGATGGCCTGTGCCAAAGTGGACTTCCCACTGCCCGGAAGACCCCGAAGAACAATGACAGTTTTCGATTCCCGGATAGTGTCGATCGTGTCATCATCATCCAGGAAGGGGAACTGCAAACCTTCAGAACGTTCTTTGGGCTGGGAAGACATTTTCTTAAATATCTTGGGCAGGAATGTGTGGCTCTTCCGGGCAAAGCCTTTGTTCTGGAATAAAGAAAGGGGGAAGAAGAGGGAGGAAAGAGAAGTCATGTGGTTCTATTGGAACATTCCAGAGAGAGATACCATCTTTTGGCCCTGAATAATAGACCACTGTTTTCAATCCAAACCAAAGAGGGGATTTTGTTGTTGTTGTTCTTGCTGCTGCTGTTGGCTATTCAGATGAGCACAAACGGCCCAGTGATGGCTTTAAATGACGCTATTATGTCAGATAAGAACTTGGTACATTCCAGAGGCAGCGGCCCTGTTCGTCTATTGTAGGAAAAATCCAACAGCAGCCTTCCCCAACCTGAAGCCTTCAGTCCATGGAACATGTGCTGGACAACAAACCCATCATCCTCAGTCTGCAGAGCCAGTGAACAGAATTGCACTCCAATGCATCTGGAGGCACCAGGTTGGAAAAGCTTGTGCTTTCATAAAGACTAACATTTATGGACAATTTTGTACCACAAAGAAGCCTATTTCTCGACATACTAATGTTCCTTTATGCCAGTGGTTCTCAACCTAGGATCCACAGACGTTTTTGGCCTTCAACTCCCAGAAATCCTAACAGCTGGTAAACTGGCTGGGATTTCTGGGAATTGTAGGCCAAGAACATCTGGGGACCCCAGATTGAGAACCACTGCTTTATGCTCTAAGGCAGTGGTTCTCAACTTGTGGGTCCCCAAGTGTTTTGGCCTACAACTCCCAGAAATACCAGCCAGCTGTTAGGATTTCTGGGAGTTGAAGGGCAAAACATCTGGGGACCCACAGGTTGAGAACCACTGCTTAAGGTTCAGAGAAAAAAAAGTGGTTAGTAGAACCCATGGTCATCCAAATATTTAGACTACAGTTCCCATAATCCCATACCACTGTGCATGCTGGATAGGGCTTCTGGGTCCAAAACATATTGAAAGATTCTCCCCACCCTTGGTTAGAATGTAGCTGACAAATCGATTCCACAGGCTGCTCAACAGAAAAGAACGATGCTCATTCAGCGAATTAATCTATGCATGCCAAAATGCATGACTATGACCAACGAAAGTCTGCTGGTAGCAACTACAACTCACATGCTATTACATCTTATTCAGCCTTTCCTGGCCTGCCAAAAAGCAACAAGCACAGAACTGGGAAGAGGATACGATAAACACAGTATCATCTGACTTCTTTTACTGGGGTATACTAGGGAGATGGACCCAATTGACCACCCTGCATCCCCTAGCTAAGCCCTTTGCTAATAAGGACCAACTGCATTAGAACACTACATTCCTCTGCTCATATGTAGTTCTTGACTGCTTTATTCTAACTAAAAATTATTTGCCCTCCTAATATTTATCAGCTGTCAATTTGGGAAAAACTAAAACAATAGCACTGTACACTCTAAAACAGGAATGGGAAAACTTCCTTCCTCCAGATGTTTTGGACTTCAACTCCCAGAAATTCCAGCCAGTTTACTGGCTGTTAGGAATTGTTGGAGTTGAAATCCAAAACACCTGGAGGGCCAAAGTTTACCCATGCCTTCTCTAAAACCATAAAGTAAAGGTAAAGGTTTCCCTTTGACATAAAGTCTAGTCGAGTCTGACTCTGGGGGGTGGTGCTCATCTCCCACTTTTTTGTGCAGATTTCAAAAGTGATACAGAAAAGTCAAAATTAATTAGCTAACTCCATAACTGACAACTGAATTGTTGTTTGTTGCTATATGCCTTCTAGTAATTTCTGACTTATGGCAACCCAAAAGTGACCTTCTCACAGGGTTTTCTGGGGCTGAGAGTGTGATTCGTCCAGGATTACTGGAGATTTCCATGGCCCAGTGGGAATTAAACCCTCATCTCTAAAGTTACAATCGAATGCTCAAACCATTACACTATTCTGCCTCACAAAAATTGAATGACTAATAGTATATTAATACATATCTTGCCAAATTCTGCCTATAGCTAAGTGTTCTCTTTCTACCAGCAAGATTGAAAGTAGTTAAAAGAGGTCCTTCTTGGTTCTTTCCTGCTTTATTCTTAATTCTTTTCTGCCTCTCCATCTTTGGTTCTCCCATTCTGTTGTTTATTCATTCAGTCGCTTCCAACTCTTTGTGACCTCATGGACCAGCCCAGACCAGAGCTCCCTGTTGGCCGTCACCACCCCCCACTCCTTCAGAGTCAAGCCAGTCACTTCAAGGATCCATTCATCCTCTTCCTTTTTCCTTCCATTTTCCCCAGCATCATTGTCTTCTCTAAGCTTTCCTGTCATCTCATTATGTGGCCAAAGTACTTCATCTTTGGGTTGTTGTAGGTTTTTTTCGGGCTATATGGCCATGTTCTAAAGGCATTCTCGACATTTTTCGGCCATATAGCCCGAAAAAACCTACAACAACCCAGTGATTCCCGCCATGAAAGCCTTCGACAATACATACTTCATCTTTACATACTTCGACAATACATACTCTACTATCCCTCCCTCCAATGAGCAGTCGAGCTTTATTTCCTGAAGTATGGACTGGTTGGATCTTCTTGCAGTTCAAGGCACTCTCAGAATTTTCCTCCAACACCACAGTTCAAAAGCGTCTATCTTCCTTCACTCAGTCTTCCTTATGGTCCAGCTCTCACATCCATAGTTACTATGGTGAATACCATTGCTTTGACTATGCAGATGTATTCTTAATTCTTTTCTCCCTCTCCATCTTTGGTTCTCCCATTACATTAATGGTTCTCCCATTACTCATTCTATTCGTTATTAATGCTGCCATGTAGTAGACAGTTTACTCAAAATGCAAGTTCCTTTCCACTTCTAAAAATCTAAAAAAGGCGAAGATAAGAATCCAGGAAAGAGGGAAGAGTGGTTTTGTATGCTAATGACTTTGCCCCAGAAATCAAGAAAGTGTTTTTTTGAACTACAAATCCCAGAAGATTCCAACTACAACAGATAGTAATCTTAACCAGCTGGTTCTGGTAGTTCCAATCTTTAAAAAAAGCTTCCCAAAGCTTTTTATACTTATCTTAGCCTTAACAAAGATTTCCCCAGAACAAATGCAGTGATGGAGAGAAGAATCTGAGTATCAGATCATATGCCTGCTCTATGCCATTTAACCTAATGGACAAAGTGCATGTTGTACTTTGGATGCTTTCTGTTCCAAAAAGAAGTTGAATAATAATAGAATCTCTTGCAGGTCTTTCATTCACCATCATCCTAAGCTAATATCTAGTTGACAGATTCCCAACCACAAAAAAATAGCAACTAAAAATAGCAAATTGCACAACATTTCCGTTACTACTATATCAACCACAGAATTAATCCTATCTTAGCATACATTTTGAGGTTTTATCTCTAGCTAAACACAACCCTGGGTGTAAGTTAAAGGTAACGAGGCCCGTTGCGCCAAGAGTAAACAAGTCAGAAAAAATCAGAAAAGGCAAAACAGAGGTATGGTTCAAGTTTGTTTTTTGGGTTTTTTTGTTTTTGGGGTTTGTTTTGTTTTTTGAAAGACCAGGAGTTGGCTTTAGCAGGACAAAAACCTTCTCCTTTTATCTTACTCTGGCTCCTGATCTGTTGGAGTTGGAAGACAGTGAATTGATTTCAAGCTAGCCAAAGTCATGCTGAAGGTAAACAGTAAGTCTTAAATTATACTATGTAACATGATTTTTGTTCCTGGGTTATAAATGTCATTTCCAAATTGGTTCCATCATTAAAATATGGAAAAAGTTTATTAAACTGCAAAAACTTTGTTTTTGCGGGACATCCTACAACACATTTTGCTATAGTTTTTTCAATGCATATCTCATAGACTCTTCACCAATTCAACACAGTTTATGGCAGCCACAAAAATGAAGTTTCTGGTGTATAACCACTACTTTAAAAGTAAGTACCACACAATTAAAAAGCAAGTAACACTTTCACACCAGGAACAATTTTTTCCCCAAATTTTGCTACATTGTGTTATTAGGAGAGAGCCTTCTCCATAGTTCCCAGGTGAGGTTTGGTCAGCTCAACTTTCCAAAAAAGGCAACTATATTTTTTATTTAAGCAATCCTTTGGCTCTTATCTCACATTGCAGAAGGATCGCTTAATGGGGAGTGCAGGGGTTTATCTTTTTCTATTATGTTTGTAGCATGGTTTAAATGGTTTTAAGTTTGCACTGAAATTTTTTTTTTGAAATTTTGTATTAAAATTTTAGTGGTATAGTATTGATGGGAGCACTTTCCATGACAACCCCATCTCACATGGATACCTAAAACGTGGATAATAGCAAAACCTATATTTTGCCTCTACTTGGTTCTGAGGCATATCATAGAATCACACTGAAAGACCTACACAAAATTGAGAGGATCGTAGGCAAGTAAAACCATGAAAATTGAATCCTTGGGTACGGTAGGCAGTATTCATTTTTGAAAAATATTACAGCAGAAGCCTTCTTCTCCGTAAAACAACAAAGAATAATGGCATCACTAGGGAGGTGCAGGGGATGTAAACCACACCTTGTAACACCATCAGAGGGGGTAACACCAAAAGGAGCGCCCATAAAACTTTGGGAAATTTTCTGGACTAACTTTGTGTCTTTATATGCATTCAGCTTGGCAGATACATTGAAATAACTCCCCATTGTGGTAGCTTGGGACCCTTGGAATTCTTTCTTCCAGACAAAAAGGGGCCTATGGGTGTGACACTATGACTTACTGTACCAAATGATACCATATAGTGCAGTGGCTCTCAACCGGTGGGTCCTCGGATGTTTTGACCTTCAACTCTCAGAAATCCTAACAGCTGGTAAACTGGCTGAGATTTCTGGGAGTTGTAGGCCAAAATACCTGGGGACCCACAGGTTGAGAACCACTGATGACTTACATGAAGGGTTAGAAGGCATGATCTGTTGACACGAAATTGGGAGGGATAGCCAATACTCCAGAAGACAGGAGCAGAATTCAAAAAGATCTTAACAGAGATGGACCAAAACTAACAAAATGAAGTTCAACAGTGACAAATGCAAGATACTCCACTTGAGCAGAAAAAATGAAATGCAAAGA